GTCTGCTGGCGAATAGCCTGGGGATACCGGGTAATCGAGTATATCTGAGCTATTAGCATTGCTGATATTGACCGGGCGCTCTAGCCTAAGAAGAAGGTAGACCCTGCCGACTGGGTCCCGAAGGATGTCTTAGAGGAATTCGGAGTACTCTTCGACCCCTAGAAAGCGTACCCGTTACTACCCTATCGGCTAGGTATAGACTACGAGATCCCTATTGAATAGGGACCGGACGGTCGTGAATCGCTACTGCCTTGGGGGCTGTTATATAGTATGTTGTAAGAAGAGCTCCTGGTGCTGAAGAAGACGTTGCAGGACTTCTTAGATAAGGGATTTATTAGAGTAAGTAGCTCCTTTGCCTTAGCGCTAGTCTTGTTTGTACGAAAGCTAGGTAGGGGAATACGGTTCTGTATAGACTACTAGGCTTTGAACGCTATTACGAAGAAGGATCGCTACCCTCTCCCCCTAATCTCGGAGACCCTTTGCTGAGTTAGCGTTGCTAAATGGTATACTAAACTCGACGTGGTGGCTGCCTTCTATAAGCTACGAATAAAAGAAGGAGACGAGCTTAAGATAGCGTTCCGTACCTAGTACAGGCTGTTTGAGTAGCTAGTCTACCCCTTCGGCTTTATAGGCGTACCTGCGACTTTTTAACGCTACGTTAATAGTACCCTATAGGAATTCCTTAACGATTTTGTTACTACTTATATCGACGACGTCTTGGTATATACTAGTGGCTTGAAAGAGGAGTATGAGGAGAAGGTTCGCTGCGTACTCGCCGCCCTCTCGGCGGCCGGTCTAAACCTCGACCTTACTAAGTGCGAAGTCTCTGTTAAGATAGTTAAGTACGTTGGCTTTATGGTTACTGCTGGGTAGGGTATCTTATGTGATCTTGAGAAGTTAAGAGCTATTGTGGAATAGTAGGCCCCGGAGACTGTAAAAGGGGTAAGGAGTTTCCTGGGATTTGCTAACTACTACTGAGTATTTATACCGAACTTTGCTGAGATTGTCTGCCTACTTACCGAACTTACGAAGAAGACCGCTGTATTCTACTGGGGGAAGTTATAGGAGGAGGCCTTTTAGTAACTGAAGTCGATGTTTAGTAAGGCCCTGATACTATGGTAGTTCGATCCTAAAGGGAAGACTTCTGTTAAGGCCGACTGCTCTGGGTATACCCTAGGGGGCGTGCTAACCTAAGAGGATTTATTAGGGAGACGCTAGGCTGTTGCTTACTACTTGTAGAAGTTGACCCCTGCTAAGTATAATTACCCTATTTACGATAAGGAGTTACTAGCTATACTTAGCTACCTGCGTGCCTAGAGGGCTGAACTACGGAGTGTAGGCTTGTTTAAGGTCCTTATAGACTATAAGAGCTTAGAGTACTTTATAAAGAAGTAGAAGTTAACGGAACGATAAAGTAGATGGGCTGAAGAACTTGCTTAATACGAGTTCTACTTGGAATACCGACCTGGGCGAGAGGCTGTAGTTCCGGATGCGTTATCCTGCTGAGAACAGGATGCGCTAAAGGGATGGGAGGATGAGAGGGAGCTAGGTTGGGTAGTCTAAGTAATCCCGACCTCTGCCTTTAGGAGCGGCGAGGGTATGGCGAACCGGTCCCGAGTAGCCTGGACTACCTAGGACCCTCTACTGCGTATAGTCGTCTTTGAAGAACACCCCGAGCTCTAGGAGCTTTAGGACGAGACGCTAGCGTAAGACGATACCTACCTATAGGCTTTCTAAGCTATCGCTTACTGGGAGAGAGCCTTTCCCCCTTTACTAGGTCTAAAAGTATAGATTGGAGAGTACTCTATAGATACTACAAACCGACTCCTATTCCGCGACTGTATATAGGTACTAGGTAGGCGAGACCCTAGCGATGAGACGAATATACTTTGTATAAAGATAATTTAATAGTCTTACGACTCTCCTACTATAGGCTATCTTAGTTGTAACGATACTCTTAGTATTGTTAGCTGATGGTTCTTCTAGCCTGGGCTATTATAAGCTGTTAGACGTTTTATACGAAACTGTAACGTCTATAGGAGAGGGTATATATAGCGATAATTAAAGAAGGGATTCTTGAAACTACTGCCTATTCCCTAGTGATTACGGACTGACTTGTCTATGGACTTTATTACCGATCTGCTGCCGAGCGGCCCCTGAGGAGTGCGCTACTTATAGGTAATTATAGATAGACTCGGTAAGTCTGTTACCCTCGAAGAGATGGAATTTATGGAAGTAGAGGTATGCGTAGAGCGCTTCTTATAGTGCTACATAAGGTTCTATAGTATCCCCTGCTTTATCGTTAGTAATAGGGGAAGTAACTAGATAAGCCGCTTCTAGATAGCGTTTTGCTGGCTATTGGGTATTGAACGCTGCTTGAGTACCGCCTACTACCCCTAGATAGATGGCGGGACCGAAAGATTTAACTAGGAGATCTAAGCCTTCCTCTGGGCTTACGTATGCTATTTATAAGGAGATTAGGGAAAATGGCTGCCTACTACGTAGCTAGCCTTGAATAACCGGTTTAACTTGATGATTAGAGTCTCTCTATTCTTCTTAGAGTACGGATGGAACGTAGACCTTATACTAGTTAAGGAAGACGAAATACCGGCGACTGATAACCGAGAGGCTGCTGTAGAGGATTTGGTATAAAGGCTTAAGGATGCTATAGACTTCGTATAGGCTACTATAGCTACTGTATAATAGAGGTAGGAAGACTTAGCGAACTAGTGGCGAACGGCTGCCGAAAGGTTCGAGGTTGGAGACTGTGTTTGGCTCTCTATGGCTAACTACCGCTCGCTAAGACTATCTAAGAAGCTAGACTGGTTGCATTAGAAGTATACCGTGACTAAGGTGGTTTCCCTGCTGGTAGTAGAATTGGACGTCCTAGGCGGAATCTACCTAAGGTTCTATATGGATATCCTCTGCTGAGTAGCTAGCGATCCGCTGCCGGGATAGGATCGAGACGACGCCTAACTAGTACCTATACTAGACGATGCTGAGGGTGTGGAATGGGCTGTTGAGAAGATATTGGCGGCCTGTTGGCGATGAATAGGTAGGGGATGTCGTAGAGAGGCGTTGGTTAAGTGGGTGGGCTATGCGTAACCTACTTGGGAACCAGTCGACGCGGTGTAAGATATAGAAGCCCTAGACGCTTTCGAGACCCGTTGGGGGAGCATTCTTGCGTCTGACGGGGACCCTGATTTCCAGTAGAGGATACGGCGAAAGTGCGTCGAGGAGGGGGGGGTATTGTAACAGGCTGAGCCCTGAACGTAGCTAGGCTTTGCCTTGGCCGAACGTCCGGCGACCCCCTGGCGACTACCCTGGCATTCTGCCCGGCGTGACTGCTTGATAGCTTAACTATCTACGTGGCGCCCTACTTGATAGTTCTCTTCCTTTTCCTTCCTCTCCTTAGCTTTAGATAAACTTAATTGAGCTACCTATCTGTTGAACTAAACTCTAGGCCTAGCCCTTCACAGACGCTATCTTGTACTAGTATGCCTTTTGTACCTGTGTCACGGGATCGCGTGCCAGGGTGGTGTCAAGGGTATCGCGAGTCATGGCTTCGCCATGACCCCTTTTTATTGCGGCGACGCGCCGCTCGCACAGCGCGATCTCTCCTTCCTCTTCTTCGCGTTACGTCTTGTATCTAGACCTGACCCTACGGGTCATCATAATCCATCTATTGCTTTGAACCTGCTCTCTCTAGAGCCGTGACCCTCACATTTGCTGCTTTTCTCATACCAGTACGCTTTCTGGAAACCTGTCATGAACATTGTAGCTGTTATGAATATATACCTAAAAGGCGCAATGAGTATTGAGCTGCGGCAGCCAAAGTGTGCCACTTCCTAGAACGAAGTATGGAGAGAGCAGCTTCTGGCACTTAAGGGTGTTCCGGGACATGCAACCTCCCAGGACATGAAAACTCCTAGGACGAAGCACAGAGAGCAACTTCTGGCATTCAGGAGTTTGATTGATTGATTGATTGATTGATTTATTCATAGACTGACCCAGCCGCCCTAATCGGCAGCTATGCAGCGTACAACCATAAATATAGGTGTTCCCACTTCTTGCTTCCCAGGAGGCTTCCAGTTCCGACAGGAAATGTCTTGCTGCAAATAAGTCGTTCCTGTCAGAACTGTCTACCTCCTGCTCGGATGTGGTTACCCCTCTACTAACAGCCTTTTCTACTCGCTCTATGTCTATGTACTTGTCAAGCCTCTCCTGGCCCTCCTGTCCTTCTGTTTACTATTTATCACTCGTCTTCGCTATGTGTATTTGAGTACTGTGGATGGGACCGCCCGGAATTGCTTCAGGAGTCCCGTCCTCAAGATCATCTTGGCTGCTTGTACTGCCATTGACGGGTTACAGAGAATGCGCTTGATGTCCGCGCATGGTCGCTTGCCTGCCCACATCCGGTGTCGTTCGTCTATCCAGTTTCGGCATTCGAGAATGATGTGCTGCGCCGTCTGTCTCCCGCGGCCGCATTCGCACTCGTCGGTGTCGGCCTTGTTGATGTCATGGAGATACCCCTGCAGCCCGATTTCACCCGTGCGCATCTGTGTGATGGCGGAGCTGATGGCTCTGTGTGTCCCGTTGTGTATGTCTAGGGTCGACTTTCCTGGTCGCGCCCCGAGCTTGTAGAGGTCCCTGCCGTGCTGCGACTTATCCCAGGCTATTTCCCACTCGCGTTTCATCGTCCGGCGTACAATGGTTTTCGTTGTTGCTATGAGGGTCCGTAGGTGCTCCGGCTCCGGTGGTGGTGCGGCTTGGGCGCCCGCATTGGGGCTGAAGCCGGCGGCTTCCTTGGCTGCTTGGTCCGCCATCTCGTTGCCTGGCACACCGACATGTGCCGGGATCCAACGAAACTGGACATCCCATCCCCGGCTTCGAATCGCTTCGAGTGCTCGTATAGCCTCGATGAGGATGTATTGCCCCGACGGGCACTTGGGTGTTTGTAAGGCTTGGATGGCAGCTTGGTTGTCAGTGAATATGGCACATTTGCCGGGGCGGTTGGACGATTTGTGTATGTCGAGAATCATTTGTAGCGCTAATACTAGCCCCTTGAGTTCTGCTGCGTACACCGTGGAGGATGCGGATGTGCCCATGTACTCTAACTGCTTCGAGCTGATGTCGTCCACTGGTGGGTTAATTATTACCGCCGCTGCGCCGACGTGGCCGTTGATGCCGCTTCCGTCGGTGTAGATGCGGACTACCCCGGGCTCTGTGGCGTCATGCTCCTTGATTGCGTCCTCGGCGGACTCATTGATGCAGACGAATGGTGGAGTCCACCACGGCGGGACCACGTGTGGCAAGCGTCTCTCGAGTTTATCGAGCTGCACGTTGTGTTTTCGTTCCAGCATGCCTAGGAATTGGTCCAGGGGACTCTGTGCCTTGCTTTCTCGGTTGGTCCTCATGAGGAGGGCGTTGTTGTCCTCAAGCGTGGCCATGTCATCGTATAGCGGGGAAGTTCAAATGCGTAATGTTGCTTCTAGTGCTGTTTGCTCGAGTTGCTGCCTCACTGGAAGTAGATGTGCTTCTACGTCTACCGCTGCGCCCGCAGTTGTCCGGAAGGCTCCAGTGATGATTTGTCCTGCTCGTCTTTGGATTCTCTGAATAGTACTTATCATCGCGCTGCCTCGGCTTGAAGGGCCGCTCCCGGAGATGTGCCACGCAGAACAGCCGTAGAGCATCTGTGGGATGATCATCGCTCTGTACACATGACGGAGGTTTATTGCTCCAGTGCCCCACGTCGAGGATGCCAGTGCAGAGAGGGCCGAGAGGCGTTTGGTAGCTCCTGCCTCTACTTTCTCCCGGTGACAGTCCCACCGGAGCTTGGTGTCCATATGGATTCCTAGGTATCGGCATGACGGGGAGGCCTTAATGGTAGCGTGCGGTAGTCGGAGTGCGTGTGTGCTGTTCATTCCTGGGTCCCTTGTGAAATGTACAAGCTCATACTTCGCAGGCGCGAATTGGGAGCCGTGTCTCCTTGCCCATTCTTCTGCCTTCCGGTGGATGCCTTTGAGGGTCTTGCAGTTGCGCTGGGCTGTTGGGCCTATTGCTAGGACCGACACGTCATCGATGTATCCGACCGCTTCTGTTTCCTCTGTCTTGCAAGCCTCGATCAGGTCGGCGTTATAGAACAGATAGAGGATAGGCGAGATAGGTGAACCCTGTGGGATTCCTGTTTGGATGGGCGCTGATGGTGCCGTGTACTCCTGCAGTTTAAGCGTGGTGGTTCGGTCGCTGAGGAAGGACGCTACCCATCGAATGATCTTCTGACTGACTCGGCGCTTCTGGAGGCTGTGTAGTAGCCTTTCCCGAGAAACATTGTCATATGCTCCTGACACATCGAGCAGTAGTATATTTAGGCTGGTTGCAGCAATAAGATTGTCCTAGGTCGTGTGACTTCCTAGGATCTGTTTCTTAGGACAATCTGTTTTAGCCACTCTTGGCACTTGAGGATATGTCCTAGGACATGTGATATTCTGGGGTACAGGCCTTCCTGTGACAATGTTCCGTCCTTGAAATTCCTCTGCCTCTGTGGTAACTCGCTTGCTGGACAAGTTCGCTTGCGTTTGCCGTGAGAAGTTTCTGCGGTGGATGTCTGAATCCCCTCAGCAAGGCCAGCGTTCTGCGACAACTTGGCTTCAATTCGGGTGAGTGAAGCCAACGTTGTTCCGGATGGTAAACTGCGCAGGACGCGCCACAATATCAGCGGAGGCGTCATCCACCTAACGAAATAGAACCCATACAGTTTCCAACCAATCCGGGCTGCGTCGGAATAGGAGTTGAGATGCCGTTGTCAGGGTCGGCCTCGCCCCGATAACTCGGACGCATATGCAGGCGTTGGCCCGAAGGCCTGAGCAGCTGGCACCGTCAACATTGGGGTTCCAGGTGATGAACTGGATGGGCGAGATACCGTGCTTCGACGCAATACTGGCGCAAGAATCGTCCACCTCGACGAAGTAGAACCGATCACAGTTACCAACCATTCCCGGCTGGGTAGGCCGGGGAGTGGTAATGCCGTTGCTAGGGCTGGTTGAGGCTTCTTTTCAGTCGTTATCGCTGCTCATTACAAGAGCATCATCGTTCGAAGCCGGGTAGCTGCCGGAGTCGAATTGTGGAATTACACGTCTCCTGACCGCTTCTAGTAATGTAACCTCATGCGGAAAGCCCGACGGAGGGCTGAGCAGTACAGGGCCTGTTAGTAATGACATCACGAAATTCCGACCCGTCCTCAATGTGTCTGTATGCCCCTGGACGGACCGCCACGGATATAGGCATCGCGTACGACATGGTAACACCCAGCTCACCATTCCTCTAAGGCAAGGGGTCTTTTCAAGGCTCTCAAATCGCTACTCGAGCAGCAAGGAAACCATGCTCATGTTACAACCGCCATCCGCACATTCCTTCTTGTCGGTGTTTGGGCCTCACTGGTGGGCATTGCATCACATGCTTCTTACGATCCTCAGACTTCATCATGTGGCTGATGCTCGCTTTAAAATATTCTTGTATTGCTCCGTTGCAATCAATTCGTAGATCATCCACAGCAGCATTAGACTGAAGTCCCATCCTCCATCTTTCACAACCGAAAACTAGCCACTGGTCAGGGCAGAGGTTTGACGACAATACATCTATCGTCAATGTCATCCACAAATTGCGCATTTATTCCATCATCTGAGTGTACGCCGAAACTTGAGTTCGAAGCTGAACTTGCGCTGTCTGTGTATGGCGAGTGGTATTGACGTGAATCGCAACACAGTTGGTCGGGTTGTGAGTGAAAAAGAGAGATATCGTTACTCGGAAGCGGGACACAGACGCTCATGTAACCTCCCAATTGGACTGCATCGGCAGTATTGACCCTGTTGTTAACTGTCGAGGTTATATCTCCATTGCTGGATGGGCCCAATCCTGCTATAATAGTTTCGTATGGTAGTCTGCTACTCAGACTGAAACCTTCGTTAGTGTAAGATGGAATTGGCTGTGCAACCTGTGCAACCAATTCGGTGGCTGAGCTTCGGAATGCTTGGGACAGCACAGGAGCCACGGTGGGATCGTCTGGTAGGAAAATGACAATCTGATCATGTTCTGTGATATTATCGATATCAATTGAACAGGTGATAGGTGAGCCGTGGCCAGCGGAGGGAGTTTGGGTGGCTTTGCCGACAGCCCGGCCCGAGGGACCCATTCGTACAGCCACTTCACTAGCAGCTCGAGCAAAGTAGGCCGTTGCGATACAACGATATCCTTCAGGGGATGAGAACCAAGCCAGCTGAGCAAAGGGCTGCCATGGAGATGTGAATCTCACTTGTCTGTTTCTCGTCAGACCTATACTCAAAGACACGAGGGCGTACTTACAGTTGCCAATGATCAGTTTTGAGCTTCCAAACATAATTACACACGGGATGCATAGAGCAGCAAATTATTTCTGCCCGAATATTCGTCATTTCCGGTTGCATTAGATATATAGCAACTTGGCCTGTTCCGCCTATTATGCCATCCTGCGTGATATACAAAACTTGCTGGTCTCTGCCTTCTGTAGTGAGAAGGGTTCCGTCGGGTTGCCGTACTGCCACTCGGGCAGTCCTGTAGAGAAGAATGGCAGGTAGGACCATGTTAGGTTTTGCAGAAGAGTAAGTGGCTAAAAACTATTGCCAATATAGGTTTGAATAAGAGCGTTCGGGATGCCGCAAGGTTCGACGTCAAGCAGTGAGGGCATATTTATACAGTCTAGATCCATGCTTAAGAAGTACAAATGGAGATAATATTAGATTTTCCCCATGAATATTAGATCAACCCAACAACGCTCGCTTTCTTACAAACATTCCAGTAAACGGAAGTCGAGTCGTTCGGTGACTATTAGTGGATCAAGCAAATGAGGGAACAAGCTGAACTGATCGTAGTACTCAGATCTCGTCTGCATTGCAGGAACTGCGTATGAAAGACATCCCTAAGCGGGGGTAAACGATAGAGGGACTCCACCATGCTGCTTGCCAAACCTCGTCGGAAAATGGTGCATCTCGACCGACGAACCGGCAGGCATGCGGTAGCGATACAAGGGCATGACGAGATATGTTAAGAGCTATGCAAATCGCCATTTTCGCTCAGCCAAAGGGCCCGAAGCGGCGCAAGGCCGCACACCGAGCTATATTGTGTGATGTAACAGGGCGCCGTCTCTGCGCGGTCGATTCTTGGAGTTCGCCTACGGCGAAAAATGGATTAGCCTGGCTTAGGTCAATACAGCTAGTGTGCTATCCATATCCCTGATGACAGCATATATTCGTGCTTTCGGGCGGGCCCCTAATCCATGGTAAGACTGCGGCCGTAGGCAATACGCTAGGGAACTCAGTGCATCAGTCCCAGATCGTACCTTTGGATTTCAAGTCTAGAGAATCACGACTCCATGTCCAATATCCCTGTAGACACCACACTTTCATGCTTTCAGGATCAGCTGCAGTTGGTCACTCTATCTATCATAAATCTATTACATGTGGAGTTAAGGATGCCCCTGGTGAATAGGGGCAACTTCCCTCTCGCCTAATTTTTCTTGGCATCTGCTGTTAGTGAATGAGTGAGCCTACCACCAAATTACTAACAGCCGAAAACTCTTCACCTCCCCTTGCCGGAGCCCGCATCCGCGATGGCCTCACAGCCGCCGTCGGGCACCGGACTGATGTCGGCCGACCAAGCCGACCCCGAATCAGGCTCCGGGACACCTCCGGAGCCGAACCCCACCTCAAGAGCTAAGCGACGCCGCGACGCCGAGGCACAGCCGACCCGGCCCAGCCTAACGGGAAGCCAGCTTGATGCCACCACCGACGCCCCTACCTCGGCCGAGGGGCCCGCAGCCTCTACCGCATCTGCTCCGAGCGGATCTGCCACAGGGTCCGTCTTGACAGCCCTTGCAGAAGAAGCTAGACAGTACGAGGCACGGAAAGACGTCTTTCTGACCATTGCACGGTCCGTCGACAGCGTTGTCGCCAGCTTTGACGGTTCTAGAAAGCAGATCGCGAAAGAAGCCACTGCCTATGTCATTCAAACCCTCAAGAGACTGATCAATCACGAGACAAGCCCAATAGCGGCCCGGAGTTGGGCGGCTGTCGTCGCACCGATGGCGGGCAACACCACTGCGGCGACCCGGAGCGGCCAGAGCTGCCAGAGCTCTGCCCGCCCGAAGGCCACACTCCCCGCCGAGGATCAGCCGCAGGCGCAGCCGAAGGAGGACCTCCGCATCTTTGCCCGCGTCCCGGAAGAAAGCTTAGCGGCCGCTCGGAAGATCGCACCGTTCGCCGTACGACAGATCGTCTGTAAGGCCGTTGGCCTGGGGCTAGCGGACCTTCCCCACGTCTACCATATCAGCACAGGTTACTCTCTGAAGCCGCGAAACAAGCAAATACAGGAAAGACTACTTGCAAGTAAGGCAAAGCTGGCGGAATGCCTCGGCGCCCACCAGGTCGAGACGCCTATCAAGTGGTACACTTACGTTGTGCCGCGATGCCCAACAAAACTACACAGCATTGGCGGGGACGTCCTGGACCCAGCCACACTCGTTGAAGATGAGGTCTTCGCACAGACAGGACAGAAGCCTGTCCTTGCTCGACCGTCCCGCCTTGGGCCCAACCCAGTCACGAACGAAATATCTTGGCTCATATCATTCACATCAGAGGTCACGCCCTTCAGGCTCTTCAACCAAAGCGGCAGATCTCTGCCCGTCAAGAAACGAAGGACGCTCATCCGACACGACCCCGGCTGCCAGGGCTACCACTCCAACCGGTTCTGCGGACGACGACCGATCTGCAGCAACTGCGGAAGACCTTCCGATTCACACGAAACGGGACCCTGCATGGCCAGGCCCCAATGTGCCAACTGCTGCGGCCCCTTCCAAGCCAGCCACACAGACTGCCCAGCGAGGCCCTCGGCCGTAAACGGCGTCGTCTCCCTTCCCGGTCGAAAGGAGCGGGCTCGGATCCGGAAGGCCGGCCAGAAAGCATCGGACACTCTGTACAAGGCTACTCGATCCGACAGTAGCCAGGAGGCGGCAGGCGTCCCTACCTCCACCAGCCAGAACCAGCAACCCGGCGCCAAGCGCGCGCGCACGAGAACGCCCTCCGCAAGCTCGATCGTTTGCCTCGGTGACGGAAGCACTGACAGCAGCAGCATGGATGAAGACGAGGCGGACGAAGGCGAGGGCGAAGACTCCCCCGACAACACCTCCATCGACCGTCCCATGCTACCCATGCCAAGCAGGAGCCAACGGGCAGCACAGAAGCCAAACTACAACGTCGCGAATGCCTACACCCACCTCGAACTCGACTCGGAGACGTAAGCCGAGAGCGGCGACCCCACGGATGCTACGCGTTGCGCAGGGCAACGTCGGAAAGATCTCCCCGGCGCACACGGCTTTCCTGCAGCTCTGCTGGGAGGCTCAGATAGATGTGGTCCTCGTCCAGGAACCCTGGACGGGCTGGAAGGACGGAAACGTGCAACTGAACACGCACCCGGGTTTCGACTCTTTCGTCCCGGTCGACTTCTGGGACAGCGAAGGAACCAGACCAAGAGTATTGACCTACACACGCAAAGGGATAGGGATGACGGTGGAGCAGCAGAGGCCTGTCCACACGAGAGACGTACTGTGGCTGGTGGTCGACAAAACGACGACTATCGTCAACGTGTACAGACAACCCCGCGACCCCCACAGCCGCACAACAGGGATACTGCTAGAACTCAAACCCCCGGAGCGAGCTTTGATCGCGGGTGACTTCAACGCGCATCACTACTCTTGGGAGCCCGGGACGAGGAACGGGAACCGGGGAGATGACATCGCAGGCTGGGCAGACGGCCACAATCTCTCTCTTATCAGCGAAGTTGGGGTGGCAACCCAGGATTGCGGACATGTCCTGGACCTGGCTTTCTCTAATATCCCTTTTGCGCACGCGCAGGTCAGCCCACAGTTACACCCGGGAGCTGACCACGAGGCCATCGTGGCCGTCATACCACTATTCAAACGCCCAGTGTCACAGGGAGAGGGCCACCCGCAGCCACGGCCACTGTCAGTGCCCGACTCGGCGCTGCCTCGGCTGAGAGACCTGATCGAAGGGGGCTAGCTGCGATGCCCAATCTGGGGGATCAACCTACTCCGGCAGACCTGGACGGGCAGGCAAGTCACATCGTCGAGCTCTTCTCCCGAGCCATTGAGGCGGTCGGCAAGAAGAGAGGAAAACAGGGAAAAGGCGCGGCTTGGTGGACGGAGGAATGCGCAGAGGCCCACAGAACGTACCGTGCTGCCCGCAACCCACAAGCCTGGGAGACGGAGCAGAACGCAAATCCTTCTCCAATGGAAGAGCGGAAGGCATTCCTGAGCATTGTGAGGAAGGCTAAGCGAGCATACTGGGCCGGAAAGATCGATGGAGTCGCTTCAGACCGGGACCTCTATCAGGTCATGGGTTGGCGGAAGGCGAGCCCACTGACCAGAGCACCCCCATTGATTGTGGACAACCAGACGATCGAGGATACTAACGAAAAGGCCCAAGCGCTCCGGAAAGCCCTTCTCGACAGGTTTAGTGCGGAAGATGACGCACCGGGTGACCCGTTTGACGTACCCGTCGTCCCAAGGCGAGCGATTACTTGGCAGGACAATGTTAGCGGAGAAGAAGTGAAGACGGCCACCTTAACAAAGACAACGACCCCTGGTGTGGACGGGATCACCACGCGCCTCCTCCAGGCCTGCTGGGGCGTCATCTCGGAGCCGGTCAGGCAGCTATTCCAGTCCTGTATGCGGGCCGGCCACTTTCCTCTGCCTTTCCGCAGAGCTGAGGTGGTCATGATCCAGAAGGCCGGCAGGGATGCCTCCAAGCCCGGGTCCTGGCGTCCGATCGCGCTCCTCTCGTGCCTGGGCAAGGGACTCGAGAGACTGATAGCCAGAAGGATGGCGTCCCTGGCGATTGTCGAGCGCATCGTCAGTCCGCAACAGATCGGAGCCCTACAGGGCAGGTCAGCCGTCGATCTGACGACCTGCCTCGCCCACGATATCGAAACGGCCCTCCTAAAAGGGCTCACGGCGACACTTCTGACTATGGACGTAAAAGGGGCGTTCGACTCCGTCCTTCGGAACCGGCTCGTCATTAGACTGCGTCAGCAGGGATGGCCACACGGCTTGGTTAGACTCATCTTCAGCTTCTGCTGCATCCGCATCGCCAGAGTCCGACTGGAAGAAAGCACAACGGAATACTTTCCTCTGTCATGCGGGCTGCCGCAGGGGTCGCCTCTGTCTCCCATCGTCTTTCTGCTCTACATCGCGGAAATACTTGAAGACGACCCGGACGCGCGATTCGGGTACGCGGACGACATCGCCACTCTGGCCATAAGCCCCTCCCTGGAGAGCAACGTCGCAATACTCAACCGAAGCGCAGCCGGCATTCTCAGATGGGGTTCGGAGAACAAGGTCTCCTTTGACCCGAGCAAGTGCGAGGTCATCCACTTTACTAGGAAGCACGGCCAGCCAGCGGAGCTGCCAGAGGTCAGGGCGGGGGATTTGGTGGTCAAGGCCTCGACAAAACCTGTACGCTGGCTGGGTGTCTGGTTCGACAAGAGACTGTCCTTCCGGCACCACGTCGACACAAGAGTAGCTGCGGCAAAGAAGGCAGCTCAACACCTGAGGCAGCTTACAAACACAAAGAGAGGACTGCCAGCGGCCGCCGTGCGAAAAGCCGTCGTCTCCTGCGTACTGCCGATCGCGCTCTTTGGCGCCGAAACATGGTACGCAGGTATCACGAAGCCGGCTTCGAGACGCCAAGCGGAGACAGACACGAATCCGCCTCTCCAAGGAAGACCCGTCAACACAGGCCAGAAGGGGCTCGTGCAGAAGATCGACAGCGTCATTACAGCGGCGGCAAGGGCCGTTCTGCCTGTCTGGAGGACAACGCCAACCAGCAGCCTCCTCCGAGACGCCGGCTTACCGTCAGCCAAAGTCGCTCTAGAGGGCGTCCGCTTACGGGCCGCAGTCCGACTGCAGAGGATCGATCGCCGACACCCGCTAGTCGCGCGGCTCTCCCAGCAGGGACAGCAACAGACGAGACTACAACGGACGGCTGAACTTCTGCCAAGATGCGGAAGACCAGCGTTCCTCCAATCACAGTACCTGCCAAGCTCACAGGATCAGATAGTAGTTCAATGCAAAGAAGAGGCTGCGAAAGATTTCGAGCGCTGGCTAAAGACAGTACCGGAAAGCCATATGATCGTCTTCTCGGACGGCTCCAGGGCGACGAACGGAGCCGTGGGGTACGGCTTCGTCATCTACCGAGACTCCAAACGCATAGCGCAAGGGTGCGGCCGACTCGGACTGGCAGAAGTGTTCGACGCCGAGGTCGAAGGAGCGCGAGCCGGCCTCAGAAGGGCTCTGCTCACCAATCGCGGTCATCCAATCCACATATGTATCGACAACACCAGCGTTATACAAGGTATCCGCGGCAAGGCGCCGGACTCGTCACAAGAGGCGTTCCTCGAAATCCAAGAAGCAGCCAGGATTTTTGATGTACGGACGCACTGGTCTCCGGGACACCAGGGCATCGAAGGAAACGAGGCCGCGGACCGGCTGGCCAAAGAAGGAACGACACTGCCGGCGCGGATGGGTCAAATGGCAACACTAGCGGGTATCAAGCGGCTTGCAAGGGAAAAACTACAGGGCCACCACAGGAGATGGTGGTATAAAGAGCGAAGGCCGCGGTACGCGGACTTGGGGCTTGAGGCAGCTCTATCCAGCCCTCCTGAACTGGCCTTGCCGCGGGCTACGCTACATCACCTGCTGGCGGCACGATCGGGTCACGGGGACTTCGAGCAATATCACCGACGTTTCAACCACGACGACGCTCTAATGATGTGCTCTTGTGGAGAGGCAAAAGACGTGGACCACCTGGTCTACTGTCGACTAACGCTGGCGAGGAGGCAACGGTGGCCGACCCTCCACTCTCGCAGTATGCCCGAGCCCATAGGCCCTATGGGATCTCTCGAGGCCTACTTCAAGAGATTAATCACCGACCCACGAGGCTTCGAGGCCTTTCTCCGCGTGACGGACTTCTTCCAGAAGATCTGTCTGCGGTAGCAGCATCCACACCTACGTAGATGTGAGTGCGGACTACAAAGAACCTCCCGATTCCAAGGGACGATTTGGGAAAGAATGAAACTGGGGCACCAGCGGGAACCGGGGACAGACAGAACGCGTAGTGGCCACAAGGCATGATTTGGAGGACGATGTAAAGAGACGACGTACTGTAGAGTAGGTAGCCTTGGCTCACGGCCCTCCACGCCATATACCCTTCGGGAGGTCTGCGGTAAGGGCTCTAGCCCGGCCGCCACGGCGTTAAATACAACAACAACAACAACAACAACTGGTGAATAGGGGTGGATGGTGTGGGGCACGCAAGTTGAGAACCACTGGTCATGCGATCTCGTTCACTCTCTCCGAGTTGGAGCCCTCCAGATTGGAGACTAGTGGTCTGTGCCAACAGCACAAAAACACCCTCATTGGTTCAATCTGAGCCCCAGCTAGAAACATGTATTGCCTGGCTGGATCCATATTCCACCTCAGCACGAATCCGTGATCAACGTCTCTGTAAACAGCATGCATTCATGCTTGCAGGCTTTGGTATCCATCCCCACACCGACCCTAACCCAGGACATATCTCGGTGACGTCCGTTCTCAAGCTATGGAAGACGGCAAACGAGGCGAACCGAGCGGAACGAGCAAGATCAGTCTTTCAGTGGGTCGCGGTCTCGCAGAAACCCACATTTCTCAGGGTGGCTCGCGCCGCAGCCTGGTAATCGATGGCAACCTCCAATGCTTGCGTTGGGGAGGGCGAAGAAGGAGCATGAAACATGATCTCAATAGGCGCAACCGGGCGACTCGAGGCGAAATGTAAATGGGGCCACACTGAGGTGTGCATCAGTGATGGCTAATGGCATCGGGGGTCGAATTGCACGTAACTGGCAATGTCAACAACAGTAAAAGCAGAACGCTTCTCTTGGGACACGAACCTTGGTAACAGGGGTACAATTGGCGTTTCGTGCCGGAGCCGTTGCATTTGGTACACACGTATGTTCCGACAACTCCTTTGCCGCCACATTCCGTGCACGTGGCCATTGTCGTTGTAAGCGGGGTAGGGACAAGGATTGTTGATAACTGTGTTGGATGCAGAGTACCTGGTATGAAAGACATGAGTTACGCGCCGGTATTTATGCACGAGAGGACATGCGGATCCAATGTCCTAACCAATCACTGAATGCCATCCGAAACCTCCTCTCTGATTCACCATCCTCTTGCTTCTTCCTGGTTCCATCACCTCAAATCTCGTTTAGCAATATTCGAATTATGGGCGAAAATTCTCAGAAAACTCAATGTCAGACTTGCTTCGCGGTCTTTGACAAACACCAAACCTTGCGCGACCATGTAGACGCTTATCAGGTCTGTGGAATGATATTTCGTGTGACAAAGTGCTAATCGTCGTTTCAGCGCGAGGCTCATGCCTTGATGGCAAGGCTACGAGAGGTGCAAGCCCATTTGCCTCCCCTTGATGAGCAAAACCAGGCATGTCATGGCAGCCTCAATGAGGACGATCGGGACTTCGACGATAATGACGACGAAGACACCGACCGGGATGACTTCGCCGACCTTGATGGACTCATTTGTCCGTATCCGACTTGCGATCGAAAGGAAGCATTCAAAACAAAGCAGGCTCAAATCCGACACTATGAAACACGTAAAGAAGACTCTTGGCTTGGATAGCAAACGTACTGACGTGACGTTTAGATGTTCCATGTTACGAAATCTGCGTCTTTTGCCGAGATTCGTTCGTCCAAGTGCGCAAATATATAGCACATATCTGCAAGGCAAAAGCCACGTCGTACGATCAATGGAGGGACCAGTACAGGAAAGAGCGCTGCACCCAGCTGCACCGGCAGGCAGCTGAAAAGCTAGACGAGATGTTGGACCTTGACAGTAAGGCTCCCAGAAAGGAAGATTCTCGTAAACGTGCACGAGACGCAGAGGAAAAGTGCGCGGACCAAGTACACACGTACAAGAGACTACGCACTGCTTACAGCGTCAGCGACGGGCATGGTGAGCTGCGCTCAAATCCCCGATGCCATCAAATTCTGATTTGAAAATAGAATATCCTGAACAGAGTAGTCTGTTCGCATCTATGCACCCAACACCTCCACCAACCATTTCGAGCCAACTTGAAAACTGTCTGGTTTCTAGCACACACATCTGTGGTGCCGAACCTCCACCTGGTACAGACTGTTCGTTGTTGGAAGGGCCATTCGGCTTGCTCCCCGGACGAATCCAAGCTCCAATCTTTCACAGCGCTACAATTCCTCCTTGGTATGGATTAGAGCAACAACTTCAACTAGGATCATTCGAGAACGGATTGCAGTCCTCTCACGCCTTTTTGCCGTCGTCGGGTGATAGTTACGAAAGTGCATCATGAACAAAGGTGCTGTGGGTGTCAAGGTCCTTGTCAGTGTAGTGGACCACTTGAGTAATCAGTTCCGATCGACAATTGGCGTGCAAGATCAGCCCTCTTCAGCATATGTTACATTAATCCGGACTGTTCGACTTTCCATGCTCGTTACGTGGTGTTCGAGAGATCGTGGCAACTGCATTGGTCTCCACAGCTTGGCTGCATCCTCTTTCCCGAATGCAAACGTGATGGCCGTGCCGGCAGTGATCTGAAACGCAGTCCTCGCATCAATCACAGCGCTGTACATCTCGTCAGCAAAATATGGTACGGGCGTAAGCCAAACCTACAAGCCACCCTTCTCAAATGTTGTCTCAACCGGCGTACTGCCGCTGGATTGCAGGCGTGCGCGGGTGACCTGCAGCAGAGAGTTTGCTGCTTCAATAGGTTCAAGCCAGTGACGATGCGAACCAGCCCAGTATGTAAATTTGGAGCCTGGGCTCCATATCATGACCATGATGATTTCCACCTCATGTCCTGGGTCGCTGTTGAATACGTAATCGAAGGGGGAGGGCCCCAAAGACCTGTAAAGTCCTAGACTTGATGTTTCGAGGAGGGATTCGAGAAGAGGTCGAATAATCTGGGTTATTTAGCATTGGCAGGACACATAGTGACCGTAACAACTTACAGGGTGACGAAGGACGTTGGTTTCAGCGAACTGAAGGCCAGGGGCTGATGCGAAGGGCGTCGCATTATCTTCCATTTGTTTGACATGTTCACCAAGAGACAGGTCCTCAGAGACAAAGTATCCCCGCTCGATGATCGAGCTCCGTAAAGTAGGTATTGACTGCATGGTAGAGGTCGAAGCCATGCCGTTCGAGATGATGAAAGGAGAGGATACAGTGAACCGGTTGCAGGTTGTGTCAAGGCAGTCTGGCGCCCAACGTCGGCTTAGGCTGTGTCGTGGAAATAAGTTATTCCGACTTGACAGGTTATCTCGTCGGCGTTCCTTAGCGCCGATCTAGTAACGAGCCCAAGAACGAAGGATAGAGTCACTAATCCATGCTAGAGACACGAAATAAGGACCCACTTTGTCATGTTTGTTGCAATGCTACATATCACAGTTTCGTGATAGTAGATTTACGGAAGCATTATTTCATGATTTGGCTAATATTGCTCTGTGATCCACCAGCATGCATACATGATAGGCATCAATTTTTGACAAGTGCCCACTAAGGCTTGCATCAAAATACATCAGTGCAATATGGGATCTCTGCGGCAAACAAATTGATCACGGCCTCACGAATATAAAACTTGATCTCCTACTATTGAAGAATCAGCAATGCAACCACGGCTCATGTCAGTACTTGTCTGAATGTGAGAAATCTGTCGAAGTTCCCTGCTCAAACTCCTGCACTGTGTGATGGCGGAGCTGATCGCTCTGTGTGTCCGTTGTGTATATCTAGTGTCGACTTTCCTAGTCGTACCCTAAGCTTGTAGAGGTCCCTGCCGTGCTTAGACTTATCCCAGGACGTCTCCCACTCGTATTTCATTGCCCAGCGGATGATGGTTTTCGTGGTTGCCGTGAGTGTCCGTACATGCTCCGGCTCCGGCGGTGGTGCGGCGTGTGCGTCCGCGTTAGGGTTGAAGCCGGCGGCTTCTTTGGCTGCTTGATCCGCCATTTCGTTACCTGGCACACCCACATGCGCCGGGATCCAGCGGAATTGGACCTCCCATCCGAGGCTACGGACCTCTTCGAGCATTCGGGTGTTGATTTGCAGCAGTATGATTCTCCGAATACCTCGTTCATAGGATCAGGAGGGGGGGAAAAGTCTAGAAAGCATGACCAAAAGTAGCTCACGGTTGCATCACGATATTATGGTTAGAGTACCTTACGGTTGTCCCAGTAGATTCGATAGCTCGAGCATTAGAGAGATGCAAGTTGTATTTCCCACCAACTATCGTACACTGTAATTACAGGCCTTCACTGTATAGCATACATAATACGTCTTTTGATGAATATCCCCCCGTTTCCCCCTCCCCAATGCTTCTAAGTCGGTCCCCACACGGATTCCTTTAAGCCCGTCACACTGAATGGGAGTTGGCAATCCTCAACACAAACTCGTACACGCCAAGAGTTATTATAGCAGACGGAATTGAGCGTACGAGATGTGGTGTGAGACCCCCGTACAATCCTCGCCAACCCTCCTGCTTCCATACCAAATTGAAACACTGACCTAGACCGGTATATGTTGGCCTCCCATTCTCTGTCGGCGCCTGACGCAGGCGCGTTCGTATTACCTACACAACGAGTTACTTTCTGGGAAACAACGGTGGTTCGGGCTTCTGTACCTCATGGGGATATGTGACCAGAACTGCGGCAAACTTGGCACAGCCAGCAGCGCCACTGGTACTGACCCATCTCCCGAGTTCTTCCCAGCCTGGATGCGGATTGCGCCTTGGCCGGTGACTTAAAAACGGAGCCTGGAAAAGCACCTTGAGTTTTTCGTAGAGAACGAGATGTAGAACCGTCTCTACCGTGCCCAAGTAGCTCGCGCTTAATCCGCGGTACAATCCGGGAATTCCCTCTTTCCGCAGCACCTTTTGCACACAGTCCAAGCTTCCCGTGTACTGACGCACCGTTGTGCCGCGAATGGCACGTGATCTGTCGAGTTGAAGCCTGGTCTTCACAAGCCAGACCGGATTTGTCGCTGTTGCGGTTGCGATGCTGGCGGCGACAGCGGCGTGCGCATGGACAATAGGGTCGTCCTCCTTGTAGTTCAGGTACCTAGCTGCGAGGAGCTTGGTGTTTCCATACACATAGAACTTGATGGCAGTTGCAGGAACCACACCGGCCAGGCTGGGCCCAATGCCGCGAAACAATCCACGCCATCCCTCGTTGTTCTTTATCGAGCGCAGGATGTCAAACGTTTCGAAAACATGGCCCAGGGGAGTTATGTACAGGCGAGAACGAGGGGCTTGGCTGGCAACAGTTGATCGCGATGAAGGTAGGTAAAGGTCGGACTGAAGTCGAGTTCGGAGGACATCGAGCGGAGAAGTAAGAAGGGAGGTCGCGGCGCCACCGCTCCTAGAGAGAGTCAGTTTTATTAGAAGGCAGTGGGTGGAAGATTATCTCACGCGCCAGCTACTAAGTGTACCAATGGTTGTGTTCGTCGCGTTTGTGTTGTGTTGACCTCAAGTGAGGGTTGCGATGTGGCTATCATTATGGCGGTGATCGGGAAACCACTGGGAAACATTTATGAGAAAGAGATTTGAGTGACACCCCCGAGTACGAAATGTGTCGGCTCGGTGTTATATATTTCCGCTAAACTACACCTTCCCATCACCCTGTGATGACCAACCAATGAAAATAAAGACAGGAACAGTGACCACCAAGGACCGCCACCCTCATTAAAAAAAACCCCGGTTTGGGCCAAAAAAAGAGTGGCAACGGCCCCATCCACCTACAACCTCACCCCTAGTCCATCACATCTAGACATCAAGTCTGCCCTGTGCCGGTGCAAGTTGTGCATGTTACTTTGCCAGTGGCCCCACAGCCGTAGCAGGTGTACGGCTCAGAAGCAGTGGAACCCGTGCCATAACAGCCCGTGCACGACACCTTTCCAGACCCGTTGCACTCAGTACATGTAGCCATGGTGTTGTTGATCGCTGGAGCTAGACCGCATATGATTAGCGACGACGTAACTACGAGACTTCGGCGGCGCACCTTGAGTAGATTGTTGTTTTGAATGGGTTGATAGGAATGTATTGATGGATATTGACGGATATTGACGGAGGCTGGTGAGCTTAAGAGTGATGAAGAGCACAAGAGTTCTCTGAGAGGTTTTCTCCCTTATATATCTTTTAAGGAACGGCAACGCTGTTGTGAGGCGTTCAGCAGCCAGATGTACAAGTTAAATCGCCATAGAAGTATACCGGTTCTCAATTTGCTGTATTCCTCGGCTGCCGAAGCACAGCTAGACGAGGACATTCGACAGTTGTGGTGCAATTTGCCAGCACCAGGTGCAACTTACTAGCACCAGGTGCATCTTCTGCCTAAATTATCATTGTTCCTTGTGCACGGCGCAATGCATTTCATGCAAGTGCAGGGGTAACTGCGCCTGTATCCCCCTGTACCAGTCCAATATTTGCACCTGTTGCACCGGTGCACTTCAATCCGGCACCTGTGCACATATTGCTGCACCAGGTGCATTCAGCTCCTGCATCAGGGTTTGTCATCGCTTCCCTGCCAGTGCTCGCTTCGAGGCTTTGGCACAGCCCCACAAGCACCAAGCTCGTTGGCTGTGCTTGACTGTGCGGGGTCTCCAACAGCAAGGTCCATCAAGGATCAAACAACACGCCTGCTTTACTAGCTTCTCAACTTCATTGTCCCACACTGAACCATGGCAGAATCTATCTTCGGATGCACGGTATGTCTTGCGAAGTTCGATTCTCGTGAGAAACTTCGCGAACACGCATGGGCTTTTCAAGTAAGAGCCGCGTCACTTGAACCACAATCCTTGGCCTAACGCATGAAACAGACAGAGATAGCGACATCGATTGCGAGGCTACAAGCAGTTTCTGCGCACCAGCAACCAGAGCCTGTACACACTTCAGGCGAGACTCCCAACCAGATTAGTGAAGGCATCATTGAATGCACCGTTTGCTGGGAAACCTTCACGACTCAAGAGGAAGTGCGGGAACATATTTGGACCTTTCAGGTAAAGCTCAGCACTACAGCGTGTGACTCGGGAATCTGACAGGCTTTACAGACACGCTTCACAGCCTTGTTTTCCCGACTTCACGCCCTCGTCGTCCATCAGCAGCTCGAATATAAGAACAGCGAACCACAAGACTCTAGTAATGACCTCGAGGATATCTCTGATGAATCCGATGGAGGTCAGCATCCGTCGATAGAGATGCCAAGCGGTTGCCCGCACGACAACTGCGCTAGCTCGAGAACGGTTTTCAAAAGAAGACAGGAACTCACGCGGCACTTTGGAAGGCGTATTGCCCCCATGCTCCCTTTCCGAATCCCTTACTGACGATAGCAAGACTACGTTTGTAACGAATTCTGTCCGTTTTGCTCAACCACCTTCACTCAAGCGAGTAGGTTTTGGACACACAAATGTGGAAAAACTGGATCGACTAGCCAAAAAAAATTCGTGAAGAAACGTGGTATGGAATTGCGGCGGATGGCAAGAAAAGAGTTATTCGCAGCAAAACGGAAGAGACAAGCATTACCCGCGACAGGCCCTAGACTTTACGCCCCACAGAACACCGAGTCAGCAATCGCTCAAACACCTGTGAGAGAAGTTCATGGAGATCTCGCTCGGGTTCAACCTGCCCCGGTCAATGAGCCTATGCATCAGGCAACAGCATTTCGAGACAGCGTGTCTGTGCAATCAAGTTCAGCAAGTCCGCTCACAATAATGATCGGACCCGATCAGAACATTGTATCTCTCGGCGTCGTCAACCTGCCGCCGCCTCATTCGCAGCATCACCAAACTCCCATTTGGTTTGATGGCAGGTGCAGCTCGGATCGACCTGGGCAGCAACATGTTATATCGACTCCGCTATGGCCCATGAGTGACATGACCACGAGCAACCGGACGTCACTGTTCGGCGTAGAAGCAACGTCGCTCGTGGGATTCTCTGACTCCGCAGAAGTGTTCCGACAGCTGGATCCAGCAGCGTACTTGTAGTTACGAGAACAAACACTTCGAATCATGCTACGTATCAAATATCATCACGAACCCCGTGTACCAGTATCATCATTCGTTGGGCTTTCCAATCCATATGCGTTTGTAAAACCGGTTTTGATTTGGAATGCGTGCCTATAATGCAGGATTGCGCTTGGGTTCATTAGCAATCTGGGTGGCTGTGAAGTGGAATCAAAGACCTACATGCCGCCCTTCTCCATTTGAACTTCGATTGGCTTGCAGCCGTTCTTCCTCAAGGAGGCCAACGGAATCTCGAGCAATCCGTTTGCAGCCAACACACCCTTCAACGGCTTCTTGTGTGAGCTGTCGTAGAACACCACCTGTGAGCCAGCACCCCACATGTGGACCACGATGCGGTCACCGTGAGTCGGACCGAGCGAAAACGCAAATATGTGTCCTGGATCGCTACCAAAGGAGCGACAGACTTGTGGGTTGGGGTGGATAAGGTATGGCCGTAGAATTGATTGAATACGCTGCTCCAGGTTAGAATGATAAAGGCCCTTTGTTTCCGGCACCTACGTCGTCTCCAAGAATGCAGCCGCTGAAAAATTTGAAGCTGTCAGGGCTGCTAGAGAGTCCCTGCTGGTCTAAGGCGTCCACGATCCCTCCAACTACCGCATCTTCCTGGTAGAAAAGGCCGTGTTCCCTGAAGAACTCGAGGGATACAGAGGCCGTCACTGATCCTGAGACCTCTTTTGCCCCGAATATTTCATCTTCGGTGGCTGTCGACGTTTCGTCCATTAGTTGGGGTATTCGGAGCATGGCAAGGGAATTCGTAGTTGGCAGGCTGGGCAGAAACAATGATGCACTGGCTTGTGACGTGGAAATCTTTAGGCACGGGTTAGGCGTCATGTCGGTGCTTCGGAAAAGCTATAGTCCGCTACACCGCTTACTAGAATTGATATTGCGAATGAGATCTTTCACCGATGCAATATGTGCCTCGTAAGCTGGACTTGCCACAGGGTATGTGTCATTTGATGTCCTCCGAAATGCAATTCCGACGCCACCTTCTCAAATGGATTCTGATTTCGCTTTCACGGCCTAAATCATACCTCTTCTCTGCCCGACAACCTTGACCTGTGCAGCCCAAAGATCCCAAACTTGTGTACCATCATCGTCACATCTCTCATAGTAAGGCTTACTCCCTCCGTTTGCTCATCCCTGAGGAAGACTGACATCATCTCCGGTTTCATAGCTCAAGTTCACACATATTCTCAAGCATGGTCGAATGCCCCGCTTGCAAGGGAGAGGGAATGATTGCCGGGTTCATTTGCGGCAGGTGCAAAGGCAAAGGCGAGGTTTAACGGTCGTGCATGGACAAAATACGTGCCGAGGTCCATCGCACCAACCTCGAATACAAGCACCAGGTCGATGAGACCATGACGCAGACAACTCTTGCGACGGATTTTGGCCGATAAAGTAACCTCTCTATCATCAACGGGCTCATGTGAGCGAGCAGCCCTCGGGGGTGTGAGGGGGAGGTGCATGGCTTCGCGCTAAGGGCATGACGGCGGAGGTGCAATATTATCAGCACCTAGGTGCAGTTAGCACGGGTGCAAATTTTAGGGCACCAGTGCTTCCCACCGACTATTGTGGACCCGCCAAGGACCCAATCACGTTGCAGTGGACCCTATACTTGATCGCGACTTTTCGTTGGTCTACACAGTCCCAGAGGGCGGTAACTCGGACTGCTCAGACTTGAGAAAAATGGTTCTTGCATCCTGTAAAGAGAGAGAAATCAGAATGCAGTGAATTTTGAATGTTGGTTGGCCTGGCTCAGTGCGGGGCAACTCTATCAGCCGTCTCAGTTGCAACGGGCAAGCCATTCCACGTATAAATACTTTGAGCTGTTTCCTTCATCAATCAGAACCTTGAATAAATCAAATATGCCCGGCCCATGTCAGTGCTGGTGTAATTGTCAAAAATCTGTCGACGTTCCGTGTTCTAACTTCTGCAAGTGGTGTTGTCAACATTGCCAGAAATAATCACAGAATACTCTTTCTACACCATGCATCATCCAAGTCCTCCGACTTCTCACCATGTCTCCATTATGGACATCTTCTTTCCTGGCTTCACCGGCGCCACCGCAGCGCTCCATCAGCTTCTTGAAGGAAACCTAGACAGCTATGCCGGCTTGTTGTGCATATGCGGATTACTGATGTTTTGTAGCAAGTTTCTGTACAAGTCCATTGGAGGATTTGTGGCCACTTACTTGAGTTGGTGACCCTTCCTTTCCAACCATTCGTTACATTGTTAACGTCCTGCAGCTTCTAAGACCAACGTCCACGATTCCGATGAGGCTTATGAAATGCTAGCGTCATGGGTCTCTGCCCAAGACATCTCCAAAAACGCCATCTCCTCGCTTGCTAGTGTTGATAGCAGACAAGGAAAAGCCCTGGGTCATCTCAACTCTAACATAACGGAAAAAAAGCCTCTTCGATTCACACCTTGGGGAGAGCGGCTGGCTTTCCAGTACAAGGGGCGCCGTCTCACTCTGCAATGCACGCAAAATGAATCAGCCTTATTCCCGCGCAAATCGATGACAGTTTCCTGCATTGGCCGTTCTCCAGGGGTCCTTTGGGATCTTATGAATGATTGTCGCCTCGAATACCTAAGGCTTTCTGAAGGCAAAACTTCAATTTTCGAGCACCACAATAACACCTGGAAAAGAACTATTACCCGAGACGTCAGACCGATCGAAACCGTCGTCATGAACGAAGAGCTGAAGCAGATGCTCATTAAAGATGTCCGTTCGTTCCTCGATCCTACAGCTCGTTCGTGGTACGCGAATCGTGGGCTGCCATATCGAAGGGGTTACTTGATGTACGGACGTCCTGGAACCGGAAAATCCAGTCTCAGTATGTCTGTCGCGGGCTGTTTTGGACTGGACATCTACGTAGTCAGCCTTGCCGCTATCAACGATGGGCACCTCAATGCCCTGTTCAGGGAGCTTCCTCAACGCTGTGTCGTTCTTCTGGAGGATGTTGATGCAGTCGGCACATCACTTTCTCGAGACACAGACGCGGATGATTCCGATTCCGGATCGGAAGTGTCGCGAAGATCACCAAAATCACATGGAACTGTTTCATTGTCCGGACTTCTCAACGTCCTCGACGGTGTGGCTTCACAGGACGGGCGTGTCCTCATCATGACTACAAATCACATAGAGCATCTCGATGACGCTCTGATACGATCAGGCCGTGTTGATAAGAAAATCGAGTTCCAGCTTGCTGACGCTGATGTGGCCCGAAAGCTCTTCTGCCATGTATTCGAACAGTCGGAGGAGGAGCTTCCTGGTGCGGAGAAGCGAGACAGCAACAACGAGGAGGTCGGACGGTTAGCTATTCAGTTTTCGGGCTTAATACCTGAGCTGGAGTTCAGCCCTGCCGACATTCTGTCTTTCCTCCTAGCAAACAGGGGGTCTCCTTTAGGGGTTTTAGCTGAGGTGGAGAGCTGGGTCTCCCGTACCAGAGGGGAAAGAGCGCTGAGAAGGGGTGGCTCTTGGGTACAAGCGAGGCAAGGAGAAAGGTGAACGGCTGGAACCCTTGAGACCTTAGTCGTTCACATTGAGCGGGCCAATGTAGCGATCCACACTTACACGTTCTGTTTGTTCTTCGTTAACATCAACCCAACTCTTTGTCATTCCTTATACATCTCGCACCATCTTGGCCGCATAGGTAGCAGCCTCTGGCCGTACTGTTGTTATACATCTTGAAACACGTTCTACGACGGATTCTAGTTCGTTGGTGAAATTGCCTTTCTCTTGCTTCTGCAACATCCCCCTCTTTCTCTTCTGGGGTTGAGTGTTTGAGCTAAGTGAGCCGAGAGGTGGGCGACAGCGTACATCTGCCCGCTCAAAATCCACTACCATAATATTACCACTCACTGTGTCGCACGCATCGCCATGAAAGATCCCCAACTTGTGCAATTCCTTGCAAGCCTTGGCAACCGCGTCAACAACGTCTGCCCTGCTGGTTTGATTGGCGGACAAGAAGTGCTTGTAGATGCCACTATCATAGTAGAATGGTAGGATCAGATCTACACTTCCCAGGCATACGGGAACATGCTTTCCTTGGATCGAGTGGAGTCAATCATACACTTTGTATGCTGTAGGCGGTCCAGGTCGGGACTCTCAACGCCTTTGGCCACAAGTGTATAGCCGTATGAGGAAAGCCGCACCTTGAAGAGTGAGCCGATCGAGCCGGACAGGTAAAGCGGTGCGGCATCAGCATCACGGCCGCGGTCTTTAACGAGCTGGATACGAATAACTCGGAGGAATTCCAGTCGATTGAGGTGCTGAAGTCCATGGTCCCGAAAATTCTGGCAGTGTCTATCCATTAGCAAACCCTAGGAGGCATTGCGGAGTGCAAAATGGACGATCCTGTATACTCTGTTTCGTTTGGCCATGTTGCTGGCCTCCTTTGCCAAGTTGCGCTTGTTTTCTGTCCGAACCCGCCCTCGTTGACATAGTGACAGCTTTTTCGTCGGTATGAAATCGTGTCGGAGTGGGGGAAGGAGGGGTCTCTTCTTTGTCGTCACCGCTTTCGTCTCGATGCTTTGCGTTGCTGTAGGCACCGAGAGCGTGTCCAAATTGGCCCCTCGCCAGCGTTGAGGTTTGTAGGGAGAGGCGCGTGGTTCCTTGCCCTTGCGCACCGTTTCGGGGATGTTCCTTAGCATGTCGTCGTATTCTACTGCCCAGGTACCAAGAGCCGCGGCAGCGTCGTGCTAGGACGAAGGAGGTGGGAGCTGTGTCATCTGCTATTCGCCGTACCCCTCTACACCCCCTCTACACCCTGGCCGCGCGCCCCGCAAACAACCTATTGCTACGATCATATTACTATTCCACACGAGTCCGCTGGATGTGCCCCTGATCGCTTTGTCTCAGCAGTGTTGCGTCGTCGCTGTTGTAAGATATTCAACCCGATTTGATGAGATGGTTATCGTACCGCCCGGCTGGTGGCCCGCTGGCCTCGTTCTGACTCGTACAAAATTAGGGCTTCCGCGGGCTTGTGAAAGCTCGTGTCTGGCTGTCACTGTCTGTTGTCTCGCATTCGGACTTTTCGGACACAGGCTTTGGTCGCTTGGGTTCGGGCTTGCGTGATCGGGATACGTCTGCGCGTTCTTCGGAAGAACATCGTATCCGAGGTCGTTCTACGGATGGTGTTGATCGAGTTCCCCATTCGAGTCGAGCGTTTGTCAAATTTTCAGAGGAGGTACTGTTGGGGGCGCCGTTGTACCGTCGCTTTTCTCCAGCGCCAATCGGGCGCAGCTCAAGTCTCGGTCGACGCGAAACAGGCAAAGATGCTTCGTCGGGTAGCATAACCTGAGAGCGTTTGATAGGTTTCGGTGTGATCCGTGATGCTAGTTGGCGGGCTCTTTCTCTGAATTTGACAAATTTGTATTCCTGTAAGCCAAGTATGCCTTCCAACTTTTCCACGATTAGATCGGGCTGGTCAAGGAAGACTTCGTCGTCGCTGTTTTCGTCGCCTGAAGAATACTCGACAGTCCTTAATTGAACATCGTAGAAGACTGCGAGATAGGCTAGCATAGACCGGTGCCGGTCCGATGGGGGGTCTCTCAAGCAGTAAAATTCATTCGCATTCCGAGGGAAATGCGAGGGTTCTGGTTCGAGAATGCCTCGTTCAGGGTGATACACAACGACAGGGCGGATTGGCAAGGTGGGATTCCTTAGCGCATTGTTTCGGCTGTGAGCATGTAGCTGGCGCATCTCGGCTTCGAGGCGGTCGGTCTTCGCTTCAAGGCGATGTATGGATTGGTGGATGGACGTGAACTCAGCGTTCAGCAGCTTGTCCTGGGAATTTCGCAAATCAATGTAATCGTCGCGCGAGAGACATCGAGGCGGACCTCTGGCATCTGAAAAGAAGCAGGAAGGTGATGATGCCATCGCAAGTATAGAAGTCGTAGTAACGCGGGTTATTTGGCGACGAGAGAGCAGCGCTGTTGCGACGGTGCGTGACGAAGGGTTGATCAACCTGTACAGTATTTGGGGGTAGAGGCTATATTATGTAGGCGCCTGCTTTGTACCGACTTCATCAGCTAGTCCGAATTTGGATGGATCGCCTTGGTTCGGTTTCCCTCATTCGTTGGGAAGGTCGTCGGTAAGGTCGTCAGGAAGGGCTCCCTCGAACAGGTTGTGCGGAACGCCGGAACCTGTGAAGAGCGCAGCCAATCTGCAGTCTCCCAACCGGGCTTCTAGTTCAAGGGTTTCGATCGCAACGTGCCCGAAGGCTAGCATTCAATGCGCGTGAGATTGGTTTGGTTCTGTAAAGCATGTCATCGATCTTTCGTAGGGCAACAGTGGGCTTGGTCATCAAGTTCTGTAGTACCCGGCTAAAGAGACGGTGCCACGCACTGGGTCACGTGAAAATTGAATGACTGGGAGTCTATTGCCGATTGGTAATGCAGCTCGTCATCAGTAGAGGAGGACGTAAGCAGATCACAGGCGTCGGCGGCACGATTTTCCGTTTGATTAGGCTCTGCTCACCGGCCCTTAGGTTCTCCCGGTGCTTACGAGTCGAACCCATGCCACAACGAAACGGACATGCCCTACAGCGGCATGCCACAGTGGATGCCCTACAACGAAGTGCCCTACAACGAAATGCCCTACAACGAAATGCCCTACAACGAAATGCCCTACAACGAAGTGCCCTACAACGAAATGCCCTACAACGAAGTGCCCTACAACGAAATGCTACAGCGAGATGCTCTACAACGAAATGCTCGACAACGAAATGCTACAACGAAATGCTACAACAAAATGCTCGACAACGAAATGCTCGACAACGAAATGCCCTACAACGAAATACCCTACAACGAAATGCCTTCGAATCATTTATTGCGCATGCATCACATTCGCATATTCTACAATCAAGCCTTCCATGAGCAAGCTTAGCAGAAGCGGTGTTTGCTTGGTGCAAGAGCCTGGCATGTTAACAGGTCGCCAGTGATGGGAGGCAGTCAGAAGAAAACATTAAATTTTCGACTGCAAGTGAGGTTATTGGCAGCATATTCGAGCCACAAACCGGCGACTTTCTATCTTTCAAATCCTGCATCCCGGAATCCGTATTTGAGCATTTGCGAGACCAAGTTCCAGGATTACGCGAGGAACTGGACTGGAACCGGAGAACAGGCATCTGGTGAACCTACAAGGACACTCAAGAAATCGCTTTAGGGGTCTGAGCAGAACCCCGCGCCATGGGGTCAAATTGACAGAGACTGAAGGCGGGTGCGGGGTTGTTAGATTCCGCGAATAAGACCGAGGGGTCCCTATGCCGTCATAGTTGGTGGGGTTGTGTTTCGTGGCTACATCACTACACATGCAGGTACTTCCCCAATCACCACAGTACCTCCACAGCCGAAATTGGCGCAAGCTGATTTTGGCTTTTGAGTCAGCATAAGCATCTATCACCCCGGGCGACTTCGCGCTGATTTAAGAGCAATCATCGGACTTGTAAGTACTGCAGCTTATCTGCCGGTTACTTTTTGTCTGTCAATGTACCTCATAAGCAGAAGAGCCCAGAACGGACCTTTTCAAAACGGAGACGATTCCCTTGTAAGCCCATTTCGATTATTAGCCTAACTGTAGTCTGGGAGTAAGCAGGCGAGGGAAGCCTAAAATAGACGCTGTGACTGGAAACACGCTCCAGCCGACCATCATCTACCAGTCACACCCGCAACGTGGGCCCCTCAAGACTAGTTACGCTGCTTCTCTCGTTGCTTACTACTGGTATCAACATGCTACTCTTTTGATTATCCGGTCGTTCCTAGTATTCGAGACTTTGCATTTTCCGATTACCAGTAATCGAGGCCCAGTATACCAAGGCTACAGGTTACCAGTTACACCCCAGAAACGGGATCCTGGAGACTGGTCACGCTGTTTCGCCGATTGCATGCTACTGGAATGGCGACTATTCCTTGTGGCTATTCTCAGTATCCGAGACCTTACATTTCGAGTTACTAGGAATCAGGATCCTGCTTCCTTTTTAAGAAGCATCCACTGGAGGCACCGAAGGAATAGCACTATTTTCGTTTCGCTAAGTGCGGGGTAAAGCCAGTTAGATTCATTGCCTGAGAATGTAATATTTGCCCAATTGAATTTTCATGCATCGACGTTTTGGAGTAAAAAATGGAGCTATTGTGCACTTGATGGGATACCTGTCCACTCTGGCAAATGTTTGCCTCAGGCATCTCTACCCCGCGCAGGTCCAGCCCACTTCAGTGGTAGGACTGTCCACCATTCGGCGCCTATGCCTTCGTCGCTACTGAATGCTCGTCTTTCAGACTCAGCAAGACCGTGCAAGGTCCCGGCAGCTATAAGCCTGGTTTTAGTCAGCCGTATCTCTGGAGCAAATATTGTCCCCAGGCCGTCCCAGGCCGTCCCAGGCTGTCCCCATGTTGTCCCAGGCCGTCCCCATGTTGTCCATGGACGTCCCCGTTGTCCCAGGCCGTCCCCATGTTGTCCCAGGCCGTCCCCATGTTGTCCATGGACGTCCCACAGCGTTGTGCACGTTACTAACAGTCTTTCTACTCGTACAACTGCCTAGTTATCAACTTGCCCTGCTCTGCCCCATCTGTTCGTTTGCAGCTGATGGCTTGAGTAGGGCGGGCCCGTTGCCTTCGGCAGCTGCCGGCGCCCCACTGGTGCGCGCGACTGTCAGAATTCTGGAATCTTCCAGGTCGGGGCTTCCCAGAAGCCCAGGGAAATGGCACTCTGTCGCCAGTCTAGCAGCTCCGGTACTTCTATGGCGCCCTGGTAATCCCTTGCTGTTAGCCCATTGTAACCAAAGTAGTAGGCCGGGTGGAAGTGTAGTCATCTGGGCGGCGATTCAACATACGCGGTAGGTCGGCGGCGCGCTTCGAAGACTATTACTAGCAAAGCGCTCAGAGGCAGACCCCTTGGATGGGAGACATTGGGGCTGATCGGGAGTGGGGTTAATTGCTGGCGCTTGAGGGCACTGACACTGGCAACCGGTCGGGGGGATGGATGATCAAATCGGGACGGGGTATGGAAATGGTCGGCGAAGAGGATGAGATATTGGCGCGTGCGTCGGCCTGCGATTCGCATCGATGCAGTTCAAGGCAGGCGTCTAAGGGACGTGATTTAAGGGATGCGATTTAAGGGCCGTGATTTCTGCTCGGGACTTGTGCACTGCAAGCATTATTTGTGATGCGCCACGCAGAAACAGTGCAAATGGGACTAGTTACTCAGCTACTAGCCTGGTCGTGAGCAAACCGTTTGCCGATTGCAGTGTGACGCGACGCAACCGACGATGGCGGATACAGCAGAGCCTGTGATGAGCAAAGACAACCCGCGCGCTACCGCGCCACGACGGCTTTCTTGCGGCCCGGCCCTAAAAAGTTGGAGCAAGGGGAAGGAGACAGTGGGCAAGTTGTTCAACTTTAAAACCTTTTTTGCCTCGGCAATGACCTGCCATTGGATGACATCATTCGAATGATGATGTGACGGTCAATCCAGGAACACTTTCGGCTTCACTGCCAGGCGTAATACATAGTGGCACTACCGCAGCCGTCCTTTCCTTCAAGGGGTTAATAATGGGAAGTAAGCAAGGGTGATACTTGTCATGGTAGCCCTCGGTATCGGCCACGATGGGGCACCCAGAGAGCTATTTATAGTGCTTGTGTTTCCTCCGCAATGTTAAGTAGGCCTCCCTTTTGATTCATTCCATTGCGTCGCCGCACAATGTTCTCTCTGACCTTTTCAAAGTTCTCGTTGGTTGACCCGCTTCTTTTGCAGGAGTAAGTCAAGTTTGGTGGCATCAATGTCAGTATTGAGGCCACAGAGGCTTGATACCACAGTATCGCTATACTAAATAATCATACCCCATCTAAACTATAGATTCGGTACAGCATACCTCTAATTCTAGGATCTAGTTTCTACGGTTAGGTCGCCTCAGTCCCGCAGACAGGACACTTTCACTTGTCCCGGCCAGGCACGATTGATGTACCTCACCCCGAAGCGCGCGCCCGCCTAGACCCCACTACTATGCCGAGTCCCCGCACCGAACTGAAGACCCTTCTGCGTATTTCCGCCATCAGTTAGAGCATTGGCCATGGTGCCAGATTGCACTAGATGCTGAGCTGCGCCTGAGATATAGTCCTCAATGAAAGAGCACCCGCATCCACCATGCTGGAGAATCATGTGTTTCAGCGTCAGGATCTCATCGCGCAACGTCGCCGCTTCGGTATTGAGACTCTTATTAATGTCTTCGATAATCGCCTCTTGCGTTTGTAATTTCTCAATACCCTTTTGCTTTTTCTGCCGGCACTTGTACGCGGCCTCGCGATTACGTGCGCGGATCTTGTTCCTCTTGCCGTCACCGCCGCTAAGATGACTGCTCAAGTCGTCGAGGCCGCTTGTTGAAACGGTTGAAGCACGTTTCTTCCTACTCTTCTGAGTTATTTTTGCAGCCGTCGATGATGCCCCAGCGCGTTGGCTAGTCTCTGAAAGCCTTGGTCGGCCTCTGCGGCGATTTCGTGCCTCCGTTGAGTCTACTGGCTGAACCGCCTGTGTTTTCTTTGCCGGATTACGAGTATGGGGGTCAACAGGCGACAACATAGGTCTTTCCGGCGAGGACAGAGACTCAGCAAGGTTGCCGGAAGGTGAGTCCTGCCATGACTGAAAACTTTGCATCGAGGTCGCCGGTTGTCGATCCGCTGTAAGCCAAGGGGCTGCGGGGACTGAATTCAAGGCTGAAGATGACACAAACAGCGCAACGTTGTTTCCTGACGGCTGTGGCAAGGGCAGGTGTTGCTGCTGGAGCTGAAGCCATACAGGTTGGTCATGCTGATGTTGCTGCTGTAGAGTGTCTGCGTCTGCTGCGTTGGCGAATGAGTGGGGAGCATTTCGAAATATGCTTTGACTCGGTTACCTACGTTGGTGAATCGCGTTTACACCACCGGCGGAGAAGTCCATCTTTGCTGGGATTCCCTAGTGACTGAGATATCGTTATTCTTGGGGAAGACGGAAGCTTAGTAGGGTTCCCTGACCGCCTGATTGGCGAAATTCGGTCTTTGGAAGAGCGTTGGTCGTACAAGTGATGTATCTGCAGCACAGTGTCTTACATTCCTGACGAATGTATGGTGAAACGGGGGATGATAGAGCACGACAGGATGCTTGGTAGAAAAAATGTTGACCTGAGTCAAAGAGGATTTGGCAGTTGAAGAGAGGTGCAAAAAAAGAGAAAAGGGCTGGGAGCGGGGAGATTGACGACAAGACCAGCCCTGATCGGTCTTCTGGGCCAGTTTGGGCCTGGCAAGAGTGAGGCACGGCACAGCGGTAGTAGATGTTTGCATGCCGATACTGTATGATGATGCCATGGTCTCGCCGTGCAATGTACTGTCAACCTGCTGGCGTCCGCCCCAACAGTGGAAGGTGCCGGAGGTGACCTCCGGCCTGAGACAGTATGTGATTAGATATCAATCACCGGGATCAAGTCGGCCACGCAATCGATTGGATATCAACCACTGGGAGATTGATTCCCTGGTGATCAACCCAAATTCCCGCCTGTCTAATTTACTTCATGCCTTGAACCCCGCTTCTCATGGAAGCAACGGTTGAAGCGCGAACCACACGCCCATCATTTTGCTAGTGTATATTGATAAGCTTGTAGAATTAATGACAGTAGCGGGGATGAAATCCCCTTTATAAGAGAGTGTCGCTTGGTTCCTATTTGCATGAGTAATGTATGGGTATTGCATACGTTTCATATGCGTCAATCAAACACTTGTGCATTGTGGCAGGGATCTGGCCCTCTTGGGTCTGACACCCTTCTTGATCCTCGAGGCATAAATATGGAGCAATTAACTAGTTTCTAGTCGCTGTGGGGCGCTCCCATCCATTGGTTTTTCAGTACGGAGGTGCGTCTCAATAGTCCTTGCAGTCGCTGCCAAGCCCCAGACCCACAATTACTGCCCATCTGAACCAATAAGAGCCTAGGGATTGATCTTGACCCACTTTACTTACTTTCCCCCTAGCACTGCCCATAGTAACGATTTTACCCTATATACCGCTATTACAATACTACCATTAATCCTATGATAATATCAAAACCGCTAAATTGCTATTTATTATGCTGCTCTTTTTTCTTTAGTATGGATCCTGAGATGCTGATAAAGAAGAAGCTAGATCTAGGCGTTAGGGTAGTGATTTTTGCTCTATGAAGTTGACTTGTTGGGTGGACTGTTGAATAGGTCTCTTAGGCTTTAGAAATTCTAGTTCGAACTGTTTACGGCGTTTTTGCCTGCGTAAAAAAGAACGGATTCGACCTAACTGCTCCTACCTTCTCGATTGAGCCTGCCTATTATGAAGATGCCTCTCGAAGTGGCCGTTTAATTAAATAGATGAAAGAGGTTAACGATGCCGTTATCTGTAAGGTCTGCTGCGACCGGTATGGGCGTAAAAAGAACTGTACTGATATTGTTGGGGACTTATTAAGGGACGAGGGCGTTGATGTATCTGTAATGACTGTTTGGCGAATCCTTCGTTGCTATGGCTTTTATAAGATTAAACTAACTTATAAGCCAGGCTTAATGAAAAGGATGCGGTAAGAGCGACTTAAGTGGTACCTCGACTATTAATACTGGACCTTCGACGATTGGAAGCGGGTTGTATAGTTAAACGAGACCGTGGTTGCCCTTAATTACCGCTGCGGTAGTTATAAGCTCTGGCGTCGCCTAGATAAGGCCTATTTTAGGTAGTGTATACGAGAGAGGTGGAAGGGTTATTCTGAATTCATGTTTTGGGGGTCTTTTTTATATGATTTGAAAGGGCCGTGCTACTGTTGGATTCCTGAGATTGCTGTTGAGAGGAAGGTTGCCGACGTAGTGATTACTGAGCTTAATGTAGAGCTTGAGCCCGTTTGACGTTAATAGTGGGAGTTCGAGAGTAGTATAGAGCGAATAGGCTTACGGAATTAACCGGGCCGTAAGCCTTAATTTAATTAGAATGCGAAGTTGGGTAAGTTAATATGGAACGGTAAGGGTAGAATTGACTGGTATAGATACTGTAAAGAGATCTTATTACCTAAATTATTCCCTTATATTAAAGGATTATCTGGTAATTTAATTGTATAAGAGGATAAGGTACCCGCTTATGATTATTACTTTACTTATTATACGTATAGCCTTTTCGAGATTACGAAGCTTCTCTGGCTGGGTAATTTGCCCGACCTTAATCCTATTGAACCTTGCTAGCTATAGATAAAGAGATAGACTATTAGAAAGGGGGCGCCTTCGTTACGGGCTGAAGTAGTACGTCGCTGGTAAGAGTGCTGGAAAGTATTACTGTAAGAGGAGATCTAGAAATGGATAGAAAGGGTACCTTACTATATCTAACAGATAATTGCCCTAGAGGGCGGCAATGAATATAAAGAGGGTCGTCGGGCTGGATTATACCGTTAAATGACCATTAATTGACCTTAATTGATGACTTTTTATTGCTGAATTGACGATAATTACAGTGGGTGGAAGTGGCCGAATTTTGCCGCTTGTATATACCCTAGCTAGCCCCTTGTCGACTCCCCTGTCTATGGCAGGGGTTGGTCTTGGCAGCAACTGCAAGGACTATTGAGACGCACCTCCGTATTGCAGTTGTTCTAATCGCCATCCACACAGTAATCTACATATTCCGCCCGCTACCTGGTAGACGCCAGAGCGGCCTATACCCTTACCGCCAGCTTGCGTTTAGCGCCTTTGCCTTTTTCCCGCTTCTGATGGCCTCTCTGGCCTTCATCAACTGGCCTGGCTACGTGAACAACGGCGAGTCCTGCTATTTGCCTGTCCGTCCCGAATGGACAAGGCTCGCCCTTGTCTGGGTGCCCCGCTACATGATTCTTCTTCTTATTGTTATAGTGTACACATTTATCTATATTAATGTCACGTTGCGCATGCGACGCTTCAGTCGCCTCAGCACCATGAAGCGCGCGAGTGCGGCGCAAATGCTAGACGATGGATCTTGGTCTTACATCCCCTCGGTGCCCCCTGCTCCAACATCTCGCCGGGGGTCCGAAATCTCAATGGACGGCTTAGAACGGCAGCGTACCTCTTCCGCGGCCACTACTATGACGACCGAAATCGAACTGCTACATAGCCGTCAGAGGATCATGTGGAACTGGCCATCGTACGGTACCGACGATGATGGCCATATTCCGGTGCCAGATGAGGTCGTCTCATCCCGCACGTTGGGTCCTAGCATGAGCCACCTCTCCACTACTTCTAGGCCCATCTCCTCACCCCCCAAGAGTTATATCCCTCACGACACCGTCGATTTGAGTCCACCTGATTATCACTACCAACACCAAGCAAGCGTCAGTGCATACCGGCAATCGCCCATCAGCCCGACAAGTGCTCGAGCCAAATCGCTTGGCAGTATTTGGTCAATTCTCCGCCGAGGTACATCTCTCGACTCGGGCCCCGAACAAAATGCAACTCCTTTTCTCTTTCACCCGGATATGGAAGGCACGGGTATGGCCCAGACGCGCGATAGGATTCGTCGCCAGTTGCGACTACTCTTCGTGTATCCCCTTGTATACATACTAATTTGGGCGGCCCCCTTTATCGCTCATAATGTGCACGGGGATAACCCAGAGAGATCTGGCTCTTTTGCGGTCATATTATTATCACTCGTGAGCCTTTCAACACAGGGCTTAGTGAACTCCTGCCTGTTCTGCGCTGTAGAGAAGCCCTGGATCAACAGGTACGAGAGATACAGGAAATTATCGTCCAAAACATGGCGAGGTAAAGACGGGAAGCGATAACGGAATGGTCGTGGGGACATCATCATTTATTTCGTCGCCTTCATACCCAATGAATTGAATTGAAGTTTTCTTGATTACCCCATATTAAAAACTGGTTACCAGTCAAGCACAACTCTCCCACAGTTAACTGTTTGGCCATCATCAGTGGTTTCGGTTGTCGGAGGGGTGTGTTGGCACGTGGATCCGCAAGGTCCGCAATGAGGAGCTCTGACCGCCTTGCGTAAGAGACATGCATAATAAGATTTGATTAAAAGTTACAGGCATACTATAGAAGATGTTCGCCCACGCATCCGGCCCATAAGGCTAGGGCCCCACCCCAGCCAGACATGTCGTCATGCGCCTCCACAGTTGGACCTTGGTCAGAACTACATTCCAATTGGTTCGGTGGTATAGCCACTCACGTAATCAGTATCTCTATCAGCGTTGCGTAAGCAATCAGGTGTTGAAGCACAGATAATTAGTCATCTCCGCGGAAAAGATATGCTACATACACCGGAGCAAATGCTCCGCAGACATGACCTCGCGGGACGAAAACGCTGAAAGCCGTCTCGGAGTTGAAGCCGCCACTGCCCCTGACGGTACGGAGCTAGAGCTACGTATCGGAATGATCGCACCAACTTCATAATACAACATTGGTGATATGAGAGACCTGGGTCGTGTAACGGAACTTGAAGCGGGGCCGACGGAGAGGAAAACGATATTTCGACATCTCGAGTTAACCGCCTTCTTGTCCTCACACCAGCCCTCCAAACTCTCCCACTTCGCCCGGCCGACCATCCCCTTAGAAGCCTCTAGACAACCAACGACTTCGAACACTCTTTCCGCGGCTTGCCCAGGATCCGTCACTGGCAGAAGACGATATGGGGGCACCAATAGACGCAAGAGACTACGTCCACACACGACAAGAGCTTGCAATTCTTGTCGGAAAATGAAGATTGCTGTGCGTACACTGTATTCTCTGTCTTCCGTCCCGTTCCCCAAAAGATTCCTACAAACTTTCTCTAGGGCCCGAGGCATTTCCGCCATCTCGTGCATCAACACTACTGACGGGCTATGAACAGTGCGATGGTAAACCGATTTGCTCTCAATGTCTGCGCCGTAGCATCAATTGTGACTACCATCGAGCGATCCCGCAAACCCTACTGGACTCCATTCCTGCGGGGAGTAAGATCGTGGACAAGGACGACGCCTTGAGTAATGCGGACGCAGCAGACTTGCTCGGCATCTTGAAAAATGTACAAGACGAGGACGTTCTGGACGCAATTCAGCTTCTCCGAAGTGGCTATAATGCGGCAGAGGTCGGCTCTACTCTACTGCGCCACGGCGCTGGATTGTCTAATGGCGCGCTCACCAGAGCGACTTTGCCACCTTCACAGACGTCCTTGGAATTTGAGCTCATGATGAGACACCCCATTCCGTATCCCGCTTGGGCACCCGTCCGGCCATCCAAGCTAAACCTGCAGTACCTTGGTTTGCCGAGAAAAGGCTGCTGGGATGGAACTAGCGTGAACTCGTGAGTTGACTTTAGTCACAAAGGCTGGGCATGGATAAGCTTGCTTTCCTTGCGAGTCCCGATCCAACTGTAACGACGTAAATGCAACAGCGTCTTGCTCACCAGTGCTTTGAACAGCCCTGACTAATTTATGATACCTCTAATTCCAGTACTACAAACCCATTAGATGGTCAACGTTACACTTCATTTTTCGGTAAACGACATAGAGAGAGTATTTCAGGCGTCTCGAGTATAATTGCCTCTCCTGATTTGACAACACTGTACGACAATAGATTACTTGGCGTTGACATATCGAAGTGGACGGATCTACCTATTACCAACGAATTCTCGATTACTGTACTGTCAACCTACCTAGAAACCGATCATCCTATAATCTCGCTCTTTGACGTTGATTTGTTTCTAGAGGGTCTCCTGGGAAATATAGAGTTTTGCTCTCCACTTCTAGTTAACGCTCTATTCTCTTGGGCATGTGTGAGTAACCCCTAACTGACAGACATCCTAGATCAAGCGTGGAACCTCACAGTGTTCTAGCAAGGATATATGGCTAAAGAGCCGGAAGCCATAAATTTTGCCTTCAAATTCTATGAAGAGGCGAAGAAACTGTGGAAGGTAGAAAAGGAGGCCGGGGTAGACCATATCTGCACCGTAATCGCAGTGCACTACTTGACTATGACCGCAACATCTCTTGGAGCTGGTGCGGAATATGTCGATTTCCTTGGTGATACTCTAGAGATGGCTAAGAGGCTCGAGCTCTTTAATGCCGACTCTTCCGACCCGCCAAAATTTATGATCGACAACAGTATAAATTGTCAACAAGTTAGGGCTCAGACTGCCTGGGCACTCTTCAATTCTGTAACGTACTTCACCCACTGCGACCTTCCAAATTTTCCCTTCTTCTACCCCCATCTATTTTCTTTCCCCAGAAAACAGATCCAAAAATACGCACTCTTGTTGTATCTGCTACATGCAGTCGGAGAGTCTTCGCCTAACCACCCAATACAGAATACTTTCCATGCACGTCCATAAGCGTTTGCTCGAGTTTTCACCCCGATTTCCCATCCCAGATACGAGGATTTCGCTTGTAGGGCGCAACGAACAATCTAAAGAGAACAAGCGACGAAGCTTCCATTCAGCTTTATTCAGAGAGAACTGCAAGTTTTTCTCAATTGTCCACGACATGTTGCAAGTCATATACGGTCCAACCCAAATCCCCTACGCCGATGCCATATCTCTTTCCTTTGCAGAAGCAACCTACAGACGGTTGTTGTCCTGGGCCGATGGTTTACCACTTGAGATAGCGCAAGGCGAACAGTGTACTCATCATGTGATGTTTTTGCAGTAAGCCATTAGCAAATAGGAGAAAAATGTTGAAACGGTCATAAACTGAAGCGCTCATCAGTATCTGCTACCACTTGGCCATACTCGATTTATTTCGCTCACTCACTCGACAAAAGTACGGATTTCGAATACGCCTTCGATCCTTTGACTCTCAGGAAGCGACACCAGAAGCTGTAAACGCAGCGTCCGTAAAGCAGCTAAAGAGGATCGTCCTCTTGTACCATCTTAACTACCCAGAGTCCTCGTTCTGCCTCTTCTGGCATTCGGCGCTACTTTACTTGGCTAACGCCATGCTCCGCGAGGCGAGCTTCTCTGGGAATGACGAAGAAGTAGAATTCTACTTCCGCCTCTGTATAACGAGCTACCGAACGCTCTACAACGGATTCCGCTTGGCCAAGGGAATCGCGCTAAGTCTACTTTCCATGGCTCTTGACAAAGGCGTCTTGGGCCTTCAGGAGGCGAAGGCGATCAGGAAAGATCTTGAGCTGAGAGGTAAGCGCCACGACATATCGGACCGAGTGATGGAATACTTCGTAGTGGATTTAGACTTTGCTGTAACGAATCCTTCCGCTGCTCAGGCAAAGAAGCTCGTTCAAAACCTCGAGAGAACGTTGATCTCATGAAACGACGAGCATAGAGAGGCGCAGATTAAGGATTGATGAGCATTTTATTGTTTTGAATTAATGACTAGTTAGTGCACATTCGGTATGGGGCCTGTATCGCTTATAGCCTAATAATTGGAATGACTACTTGGTTGATTGCCGGTCACTGTTGATATCAAGTGAAAACATCAGGTTCTCTAAAGTCTGCTGAGTCTCGTGTCCAATTTACGCCGTAACCATCGACGATTGTCCGGGAACATGACATATGGCAGAAAATTCCTACGAGGAGGCCCTCAATGTTATGACCAATATGATACCGTGCATATTGCCGCCAATTCTCCCTTGGGTAAAAAGATCATGAGCTTGCAACAAGCCGACAATGGAGCACTCAATCTGTGCAGCATGGTCTGCAGGGTTGGCCATTCGGGGATCCAATACTGCTTTCCGATTGGTCTATAACTTATCGCAGAGGAAATGATGATGCCAAGTGATCTCACTTTCATGTGATGGGTAGCTGGAACTTTGTCAGTTACCTTATATGCACATACATCACCAACACCTACAATGAGGCACACGCGGTTAAGAAGATGTTGGACCGTGATCTGCCCACTTCTTGCGTATCCCACCATGTGCGTCTTCTCAGAGAGATAGAGTTAGGCTGCAGGAGGAAGCCAATTCCTTGGAACAGCAAACTAGATACGGGTCTGTCCGTTGCATCTGCAATATCATTGATTGCCCGGATCTCGTTGTCGAGCATGATACTCCCTGTAGCTACCACTTCGAAGTGGTAGCTACAGGGGTTTTCTTTTGTGCTCCTGGTGCTGTAGCCTTGGGATCAATGGCCTCAATCCAAAGCTCTATGAAATCGTCGTGAGCGCAATCGGCTTGTTGGTGGCAGTGCAGTCCAGCATACTTCCCAGGTTGGACGATGGTGGGTGCTGGAATTGACAAACAGCTTTGTAGATGCAATTCGGTTTATCTTAGTACTGTGTTTTAGTGCCTTAACCTTCCGTGATACTGTGGCTAGTTGAAGTTCTTTCTCGTAAAACGCCTTGTGAAATATTGCGAAATAATAGCCGTTTTGCAGAGAAAATTGGTGTAGTTTCCTGTAGAGAGCCTAAACTCATACGAAGGCTCAGTACCAACGGGTCTAGATGCCTGCTTCATGCGCTCCTTCCCGTTCATCCGTTACTCCTAAATCTTCTCAAATCCGGCCTCCTCGAGTCCACCCTCAGTGGGTAGAATTGGCCGCCCTGCCATCGGAAATGGCCAGAAAAAGGGATTATCTATAACCGTATCCGTCTGTACGACCAACGGCTTTCTGGTCTCAGCGCCCTTAGTGCCAGTTGCCGTTTTTGGGTTCAGCCCATCGGCCTTGTCGCCGCTGCTGCCCCTAGCGCAAGTGGATTCATTCTCAACATGGTTTGGCGCAAAAAAGTACAGGCTGCTTGTGTGCGGCCTGACGAGATGCCCATGTTCCTCACTCCATGTCGGCCCCTCACACATGTTGATGTCCATATTCCACTTCTTCGTAAGGTATCGAAGAATATCGAGTGATCGTTCCGCAAAATGGTGACAAGGGGCCATCTCCTCTAAATCTCGGATGCCCTGCGTGATCGCCTCTGCAACGCAAGACGGAGTCAGCATTTGAGCTGGTGGGTCGGCGCTAGCTGTGGCTAGTGTATTATAATCTCTCTGCACCGCCGTGGAGGGTGTGTCAACAGCCAGATGCATGACGGCTGCTGTGAGTGCGAAGTACGGCAAAAAAGATGGTGTCCTGCGCAGAGTGTATAACTGCGAGTAGGAACGCAGAAGCCCTTGAATAGCGTCGGCCGCCTGTTTACAAATATCTCGGGGTAACAGCTTCGAACCAATAATTTTTAGTTTTATGAGTGGTCGAAAGAGAAGTAGGACTGCAAAGTGATAGTACATACTGGGTTGTTCTATCAGTGCCAATTCCACTCATTGTTTGAAGTATCCTTACTGGAGGAAGAGGACTGCTGGCGTATAGTTGAGCCCTAATCGGAGTACCTGGGGTATCCTAATATACCAATCGAGATACTGGGTGTAGATGCCAAGCAGGCTATGACTGTTTAACAGTCGTCCTGGAGTGTGAAGAATATAGAGACTGTGGTGCACAAGTTCGCTCAGTTCACAAAAGCACTTGTATACAGATCGGACGTTGGATGGCTGCTTAGCGGAACGCTGTAGCGGGACTCCTGAGAGGCTTAGTAAGGTTTGCGAGTTTAGTGAGAACTTACCGTCATCCGGATATGGCATCCACAAGGATGCCTCGGTGGCATCGATGATAGCGGGCCTCGGTGGCATCGATGATAGCGGGCCTCGGTGGCAAATGAGGGACGTAAGAGCATTGTGGAAGCGAACCAGTTGTTAGAGACCACGCACTAAGCAATCGTTAGCACTGGCACGTGAACCAAGCGTTCGATATCCATGCTCACTGATCGAGCGCAAAAGCGCCCCAGAAAGTGGCAACCTGCACTGCGAACTTGTCATCGTCCCCATCTTCTTCAAGCTGATGAAGACCCATCTCAACAGCTAGACGAATGCTTTGCCTTGTATAGTAACAACTAGTCGAGTCACGGCCGTAGCTGGCCTCTCGGATGGACATTATTCCCAAGGCTTGAACGGTGGTCAGACTGTGGTGGTCTTCTTCGAGATCGATAAGTCGCTGGGCCTCTCTGAAAAAATTATCTCCGGAGATTAAAGGACTGTTTGGGTTGGCCAGCGTAATCGTATGGCTAGAGAAACAACACCCCAAAGCTAAGAGTGCATTAACCAGTATGGGTGAACAGTACCGATGAATACCGTTCTGGAAATCACTAAGAAAGTGCTCTTTGCTCAGAGGTGCAAAGACTGGATACTCCCAGCAGAAATACAGGTCAAGGAGGTGTCGCACAAGAGCGCTGTCGTCCGTGATGTCCGACCAATCCTTGGAGGCCAGATTTATACCAGGTAGTTCAAGTGGTATGAGTACCTGATCAAGAACTTGGTATTCCGAGCCGCCCTTAGAGATTTTCGCATCGCTTATGGACTCGCCCGTGGTACCAAACGACTCCTGTGCCGCGCTGTTGGTGACCGCGCTCCTGTTCAGATCAGGATGCGAAACAATGCCGACACTGTGACTACGCGACGAAAGCCGCCATGGGCTGTTGGAATCAGCGTCTTGGCGCGAGTTGGCCTGCGCGAGAGTTGGACTTAGAGTCACATTCCTAGGGCCTCCAAGGTCTCCTATTCTAGCAGGCGCTGGTGTCGATATTAGAAGCCCGGCGCTGGTACCTGAGTCGGTATTCGCGTCCCCTGTCTGTTCCGTCGGGCGATTGAAAGTTCTCTGACCGCCGCCAGAGGGCAAGGCAGCACCTAACCACTCCGAGACGGATTTTAAGCATTGATCGTTGCGTAGCTGTTGCAACACATCCTCCCACATGTCGGAGCACGCAATGGCAGCGATCACTTGATCGCTGCATTGCTGGCGGTCGCGCAGCTGCTCGATTTCGGCTCGAAGGTGCTTCTTAGATTGGCGAACCGGAATTTCATAGGCGCACTTTATATTTTTCTGGATACTACAACGACTACATGGCATTTTTCCGTCGCACTAAATGTGGTACTAGTTAGTATGAGGAGGTTAAGGAGACGATAAATTCCAGCGAGATCAGAATCCCACCATCGCTTACTTTGGCGTGCATCTTGCGGCACTCGGCACATGCAGTGGGCGTAACCAAGCCTAGACTCCTGCTTCTTTTGAACAACTTGCTGGCGCTAGAGCTGCCAGCCGCGGACGGAGTGGGCGCGAAATTGGCCGAAGGTGTAGAAGCAGGAATGGGCGCAAGCGTGGATGCAGAAGTGGGAGATGCCGCCGCGGACGAAGCACACCCAGCAGCGGTCGGGGCCTGTGTTTGGCTGCCGGCCTCCTCCATATCAGCAGTGCTTCTGCTGGCGAGCAGTCGAGAGTCAATTGAAGATGCGCAATGAAGGGGCGCGTAGGGGTCAAGGTTGGCAAGGAAGAGGATGACAAGAGTGCTTTGCGGGTCACAGGGCGTATGCGATTGTGTGCGCGCGTGGCAGTGTACTGAAAAGGTAGAGAGTTGACGACGGTGTTATACCCCATCGAGTGCGAGTTGACCCCATTTTGCTAAGACTACGAAATACCCAGTGCTTATTAAGTGTGCCCGTACCTGGGCTCGAGTTGGATGGACGGCGGTCAGCAGACCGGCCCGGGACCATGAACGGCTTTCCATTGGTTCGCTAACCATCCCTCAACCATCCCAATAGCCAGTACTCTGCTCCTGACGGCTTCGGCGGGGTGGGCCGCCGCATCCAGGAAACCCACTATTTACCCACTTCTACTCCAGAAATGGTCGTGCCACATGCAGGCGTCTCTTCCAAATGCTAAACCTGGCATCGCTTCGCGAACCAGGAGCTAACTGATGTAACGTCTGCATATACTGAGGAAATAGGGATTCCCCAGTACATCGACGTCTGGGCTAATAGGTGAAAAAGCGCCAGGCGTTGGAATTGCTGTATGTTAGCAAATCTTGTTGCAGTACAGCTCCCGCCTTTGCTTCCAGGCCTCATTGGCCCAAGCGTGAGCTGAATTTGGCACCAACAGCAACTTCAGAAGCCCAGTCGAGCTTTGGGAACACTGCGAACAGAGCTTTGAAAACATGAACCTGAAACTATTTACCGTAGAAACTCGAGCAACTCGAACTTGCGCTAGCCCGTGCCAGCCCTGCTAGCGGCCCACACTAAGCCCTTTCGAGGGATCAGTTTTATCCGATTATATAATCGACTAAACCGTATACGGAAGGCGGTAAGTGATTATTTTCCATTTTTTACTCCTACCCAACTGCCCACTTCCACCGATTACATCACCGATTTGACCACCAATTATACTGTCAATTATACCTCCAATTACACCTCCACCACGGGCCTCGTCGACGTGCCCACGATGCCCTCACGACGGGCCCTTGCCGAGAAGGATTCGAATACGGCAAAAGTGCCAATTACACCTCCAGCAGCTAAGCGCCGCGGGCCTGCTCCTACCCCCATCAAAGACCGGAAATATACACCGCGAAGTGGCCCAATCAAGCGCCGCCAGCACCACTATACCCACGATACCAAAGTCAACGTCCTGATGTTTTTAGAGCATCACCGCGTGAGGAAGCTCGACGAAGAGTCGATTTGCCCCCCGAGGCTGCGCCAGGGCGAGACCGAGCTCCCAGGGATATACAGACGTCCCACATACCAGGAAGCCGCAGATTGGTTCAAAGTCCCTCGAAGCACGGTTATCTCCTGGTATCAGAACCGCGAGTCAATCGTCAATCGGTCCTCCAACTACGCCTACCACCCTCAGTGGCCAGAGCTCGAGACAGCGCTATACGGCGCCTTCCGCCAGCGACGAAGTGAGGGAAAGCTCGTTAGTACCAGTTGGTTCAAAAGGACCGCTAAGCGGATTTTCGCCCAGCAGAACCCGAACAGCAAACATCTTTTTATTTTTTCCCCCGGTTGGTTTCGTGGCTTCCAGAATCGTATGAGAATTACCCGACGTCGACTTACCAAACAGGCAACGAAGTTACCCACTGAGTACTTCAAAGTTGTCAACAGCTTTCTTTCCTTTATCCGACGAGTTAATCAAATGGCCCTGGCTAAGGTGAAGCGGTCTAACGTCGGAGATTTACTCGGAAGTCCAGCCCGTCGATTTCCTAACTCGCGAATTCTCAACCTCGACGAGACCCCAGTTCCTTTCGAATACCTAGACGGTTACACATACGACGACGTCGGGGCCAAAACCGTGGCTGGCAAGAGCGACCGCAGCGGTTGGGGCAAGCGGCAGGCCACATTAATACTCTACATCTTCGCCGACGGCATACAACGAATTAAACCGAAAATAATATTCCACGGCAAGCCCGCAGAGGAAGGGGGTCAATTATGGAAAAAAGAGGGCCTATTATACGCAGAAGGAGTGACAGTTGAGTTCAACAAGACTGCCTACAACAATGAGTACTTGTTCAAAAGATGGATTGAAGAGGAATTGGTAGCGCTGACTAAGGGAGACGAGTACCTATTGGTAATGGATGTCGCTTCCTTCCATAAGACAGATTCCATCCTTGCGCTATTACGTCAGCACCACATCACACCCTGCCTCATACCGCCAGGGACCACTTCCCTCCTCCAACCTCTCGATACCGCAGTCAATAAGCCCTTCAAGCAGTGGCTTTCAGAAGCAACCGACGCTTACGTACTCGACGAGGAAGAAAAAGCGCTGAATAAGCAGGAGGAGCTCAAGTGGGAGACGGGTATGAAGAGAATAATGGTCACCAAAACAGTCGAGACGGCAGCCGCTAAATTGGCCCACGAGAAGGGCTCAATGGTCAGCCAGGCCTTCCTGCAGTGCGGAATATCTATTCGGCCCGATGGCAGCCAGGTCGACGAGATCCGGATCAAAGACGTGCCCGCCGAGGCCATCGATTACACTGGGTGGGAGCTCTTCGACGTAGAAGCCCACATTGAGCAGGAGACGCTGCAAGAGGAGATTCCAGACTTCGCTGTTCTGAACGACGGGTTAGAGTACATTTTCACAGCAGAGGAAGTCCGTGATGGCATCAATGGGCAGTTCGTCGACCCGACAGTCCAACCGCCGTATGAATAGGGGCCCGTTGGAGGCAGTGGGCCAGGGGACAGTCAGGGGCTCGGTTGCTTACGTACGACTGCTTCCAATTGACACTTTTGCCCTTTTTGCCAATTCGACGAGAAAAGCTCAAAACCGACGAGAAAGCCAAAATAATTATTGAATTATATCAATTGTGGGTCCGGCCTCGACGGCGAGCTCTCATTGGTCAGATCGATCGAAATGTTAACCTACGCCAAAAATAGGTGGCGGCCGCATTTAACCACTTTAGGCAGTATTACGATTCTGCCAGAGCGCTAGCAGGGCTGGCACGGGCTAGCGCAAGTTCGAGTTGCTCGAGTTTCTACGGTAGTGACGTAATGTATCTCACCATCACCAAGGAGAGGCCCACCACTCTCCTCCTCTAGGGTGAGGAGGAACCGGAGTTCAACTCCGGACAGTGCTTGTCGATGATTGGCTGATGAGAAGCAGAGTATTGCATTGCATATCACTAGCCCACATTTTGAACAGTCACATTAGTGCCCTGGACTAATGGGCGGGGTACGCCTCGGAAGGGTTGTACGGATGGTGACCTTTTTTTTTTTTTTTTTTTTAAATGTCTAGAAGAATTGGGTCCGTTGCGGTGTTCAAGGACGATCATGATGTCCTGCCGCTCATCAGCCAATCATCGACAAAGATCCTCCGGAGGTAAACTCCGGTGCATCTATTTCCCTTGACTGAGAAGTAAATCATATGACATCAAAGAGGCACCCTACGTCATTAACCAGTTTCAGTGCTCTTCTCTTCTTTTTCGCCCCCCAGTCAGTGTCCTCAAGCTCGAGTGAACTCCTTCAAAGTATTCTCGAACCACGGAAGGGCCCAGTTGGGGATGTAGAGTGGCGGCAGTTGATCCTGATGGTGGGATGGTGTGACGAGGCTATACTAGGCCTAGATAGGCCCAGAAGTAGGGTATTCTGCGATACAAACCGTCATTCTAATGCCTAGCGTTTATATCAGCCATTGGCCGAAACTTCGATATCCTATTTTATCCCCTTTTATAGGAAGATGCAGATCCAAGGCGTAGACTTGTCTAACGCAGCAAAGGTAATCCAGCTTCCCCATCCGGTTCATGGCCCGTGTGGGTCCCTTCGAGGGCATTAGTCCCTCATGTAATGTACATAAGTTCGGTCTGTTCGTTACATTGATTCGGCTTGACGTCGTTCACCCTTCCCGAGAAACTCTCAGGGCTTCTGCCGGGTCATCAGCTTGTTCCATTGTCATGGGGAGGCACCATACCAGACCACAGCCACAGCCATACACCTTCATTCCGTCTGAAAACCAAGCCAGCCAGCCTAGTCTGCCGGGCCAAGAATCATTGGTGAAGTAAGACGCACATGACTCCACCACAACCATGATCAATTGCTCAGCAGCCATGGGTATCGCCGTCGGTGGTGTAGTGGATACTCTTCAACAAGATACGTTACAAATTGGTGCATCTGATGAACGATTCTTCAATCATTTTAACGACTTCACGAGCCATCAGACTTTTCAACATCAATGGACGCAACTTATGTTCCAGAATCTGCAGCAGATGCGACTGCAGCAATCAACAGAGCATGAGGGAAGCTATTCATCCCAAGTCGTGACCCCTTTGGCCTTGACCTCAGATACTGAGGCCTCTCAGTTGACCGAGAATCGACAATACTCCCCTTCGAAACAGAGTAGCCCGCGGTGGCTGAACTCTTCCGTTAACAACCACACAGAACCACTTTCATCATCGAAAACCTCTCTCCTATCGTCGCCTAGCAGTATTATTTCATCGGCTACTGAGCCCCCCACCCTTAACCCGGCCAAGAAGACGGAAACCCTGCCTCCAGGAAAAACTGGGCTGCTGAAGCGCCGTAGGGGTCGGCCAAGATTCTCGGATACTGGCATGCGCAACACACGTACGGTAGCATTGACGGCAGCCAAGGAAAAACAAAAGGCTCCCCAATACACGTTGGCCGATCAGATGAATGGCGTCGACAACTTCAGACACGAGCACGGCGATATCGACCAGAAAATGAACCGTACGCGTTCGCGGAACCGCAAAGCCGCATACAAGTCTCGGCAGAAGAAGCAGAAAGAAACCGAGGAGTTGCAATTGCGGGCGGCTGAGTTAGAAACTGTCAACAAAAATCGTAATAGCGAGGCGGCAATGCTGCGCGGCGAGATTCTGGTGCTCAAGAACATGATCCTCCAGCACAGCGGATGCGAGTGCTCATACATCGATGAGTACATTTCTAATACGACGCGGCAACTAGTAGAGTCAACAATAGCGGTGACTGCTTCTGCCGTTGGTGTAAGCCAAAGCCAATATAATCAGCCTGGCACCAAGGGGCCAGGTGGGGAGCGGTACTTGGACACTATGATATTGGATATGGATCCTGATACGGGTGTCCTCGTTGGGGTCTGAAATCAGTTGATGATGCTTCTTTTGCAAGTATGACGGCGGTAACTTGGGCGTGCACGGGTCAAGTCGAGGGCCTTGTGCCGTTCTAGAATAGATCTAAGTTCCTAGGGTCGGAGTTTTCGGAACTTGCGGCACCGCAATAGGACGCTTAATACCATTTGTCGGTCTTGGTGTGCGTCGGAAGAAGGTTCTGGATCTAAGTATCCCATCGAGTGCTGACTGACCGACCCCATTTTTGCCAAGGCTCAAAATACCCATTTTTACCCCAAAAACGCCGATATATAGTTATTTAATTGGACAAATATTTCTAGTATTTCCAGACAATGAATCTAATTGGCTCCACCCCGCCCTTGGCAAAAATGGGGTCAGTTAGCACTCGATGGGATAACCTCCGCCGCCAAGAGCTATCTTGTCTACCGCGCTGTCGTCTGTCCTAGTCACGAATTCTTAGCTGCCGCATGCTATCCCTTTCCTAGTATCTAGATTTCTACTCAATATACAATACCATCATCGCTAATGTAAGCTGCATAGGAAGCTTCCAATGACATTATTTCCCTTCCCGACGACCTTGCGTTGCAAATATGATGGCCCAGTATTTTTATCGTGTCGACTATCGATAATTGTTGTCACGTATCCCATCGAGTGCAACTTGACGCCATTTTTGCCAAGGGCGGGGTAGGGCCAATTGGATTCATTACCTAGAAATGTCCAGAAAATTTTGCCCAGTTAAGATACTTATGTATCGGCGTTTTTGGGGTAAAAATGGGTATTTGAGCCTTGGCAAAAATGGCGTCAAGTGGCACTCGATGGGATACAGCATCTTTCCCGCGAGCAGGAAAAGCGCTGACCAGATCAAAAGTATGTTACAATAGTAGAGAAGGACTCCGATGTTCGAAGATTTCAACAGTTTCAATGCCCAGAAAAAGTATTTGCCCTATCCCCCTTCATTTTCTTAGGGTTAGGGTAACTGCCTTCCCTTACTTCAGACCGCCTCTACCGCATGAGCCGCATTGAACAGATTTACCTCCTCCCCTCGAATCCAGATTCTTTTGATATTGCGTGTTACACTGATGTTTTCCAGCGGGTTGCCCTCGACAAGTAACAGGTCGGCCCGCAGACCCTCCCGGACCATGCCACGGTCGCCAAGCCGGAAGGCCTTGGCTGCCACACAGGTTGCCGAACGGAGTACGTCGAGCGCTGGCATGCCGGCCTCGACCAGCAGGTGCAGCTCCTCGTGCAGACTTTCCCCGAAGGGAATCTGGGACCCTGGGACCAGGTTCGCCGCGGTACCCGCGCAAATCGCGACGCCGGCATCATGTAGCGTGCGTACGCTCTTCATTGCATTTTCGTAGGTGCTGCCGGCTGTGGCACCGGGGTTCAAGTTCTCGATTGAGCGTGGATCCACTGAAGAGTTATCGAGGCTGGCACCGTCAATGTCGTCGGACGGTTGGACCTGTCTGGACGGCTCTGGGTCCAGGCACTAGTGGCGGTGGTATCTCTGGAGTCTATGTTTGACGCAAGCCGTCGCATCATTATGAGTGTCGGCACAAAGATCTTGTTCTTACCGGCCATCTTGCGTGCCAGGATCTCATCAATAGGCGCGTCGAGGGGCGCGTGAACGAAGATATCGAAATCGGCATGCAAGGCGCGCCTGTAGGATTGTATCCCGCTGGTGCGGGCGATGGTTAGCTTGTCGTCGGCACGTGCCGCGTCGACAATAGCCTTCAGGATCTCGTCATCGAACGAGTGGAGGTTGACGGCGACATTGATAAAGTCTGCGCAGTTAGGACCGCTAGCCTTCGCCGAGACAAAGGCCAGAGCATCTTCGCGCGTGCGGATAACCGATCCTTCCGATCCATTGTATAGCTGAGGTTGATAGTCCCTAGCGGCAACTGCTTCAGTTCCGCAGGTGAAAAAGGTCGAGAGTCCCATCTTACTGGCGGCATAAACACGCATAGCCCGGCATTGCTGAGTACTGCTGCTCATGTCGACGACGGTCGTGACACCGTAGCTCGCAAAGGTGCCGAGGGCGGCGTTGGCGCCTTTGATATTGACACAAACGTCGATGAGTCCGGGGATAAGTGAACAGCCGCGCCCATCGACAACAAAGTCAGACGTCTCAGCATCGGAGCCGTCGGCCATGTAATTCTGAACGTTACCGGCGGATCGGGTGAAGACCACATTTTCTGACTTGAGGATGCCCTCACTATCGAAAACGGCAACATTTCTGATGCATATCTTGGTCATATCTCGATTTGTCTGGTGTGGAGTCTGTTGCGGCGTTCCAACTTCGGGGAGACGCTTTTGCTAGACAATAGCTTCATGAACCGTTGGCAGTGAAGACAGAAGTCCTGTAAATTGAAATGGCGAACAAAGACCTGTGACAATTTCCTACGCGAATGTAAGACTTTAGGGAGCTGCCGATGGGCTGAGCTGTTTAGCCTATTGGCTTGTGTCCCCGGAGTGACCTCCAGCTAATGAGAGACCGTAAGAAACGTTTCAGCTTTGTCAACAATTATTTGCACTACGCCATTGTGTCGACGATCTACCTCAGCCCTCCTTTGCGACTGGTACTCACTTGTCATTCCATGTCCTTGCTTGTCCATCTTCTCTTCTTACTACGTCCCTATCTATTGCCAACTCGTCGCAGCAAAACTGGCTGCGGCTAGCTAGGCCTACTCACGGGCCTGTGCAATACATCACAGCGAAACCACAGCGCAAGCTTTTGTCTGTTGGCTGACTACCTGCCAACGTCACCTTCTCAGAGCGAGGGTCGAGCCAGCAATCCGCCACAGGGACCAACTCTTATGCACCAAGACGCCGGGCTCAGATTCAGATTACTTGCAGTTGGTGCCGGTAGAGAAAGTCGAAATGCGACGGCCGAGGTTTTATCTGCTTCTTGTGCGACAGCAGAGGTCGTACCGCATGCGAGTACGATATCGGCCCAGACATCACACGCTTTTCCGTCCTTAAATCCAAACACAAGGAGCTACGACGCAGCCTAGCCCTTTTCGAGGAACTCTTCCGTCTGCTATCCATGCGCTGCGAGGGAGAATCTAATCTAGGGGCTGATCTCGAGGACTTCAAGCCTATTAAGGACGCTGACTTGCTGGTCCAGCTGGCTTCTGTTCATTTGGAACAGACGCCTCCTGCAACGAGGGATCCGAGTTCCCACAGGCATCCTCTAGACTCCAAGGAGGAGTAAATTTCTCTCCTTGAGCTTTTGTACTCCCTCTGGGCCGCTGTCTTTCGTCCAGACGCCCGGAAGGATCCTGGTACTGAAGGTAATTGACGAATACAACTATGATAGGCGGCGTTGATGTAAGTGACCAGATAAGGAATGATTACCAGTACAGCACCCTATTCGTCGAGGCGGCTGGCAGGCAGTTGCTTGGAATTCCTTGCTTGAAGTGATTAATACTGTGAATAGCTTCCTTATACAGTGTGTGGTAAGGCTTACTAGAAGTCTGTCAAGAAATACTTTGAATGGCGGAAAGCCGCTTTTGGGTTTTTGATGATGCTTCTTCTGAAAGTATGTCGGCGGTAACTTAGGCGGCCAAGATGCTAGAAGGAAGGAAGACAAGTGTGCGCGGTGCAAGTCGAGGGCCAGCCCGGGCTGCGAGGATTCAAAAGATAGAAGTGCTTGAGTTACACCAGGAGGTTCTTAGCAAGAGGCACCCCGACACGATCTACAGCATGGCTGAACTCGCATCAACATACAGCGCCTAGGGAAGGTACGACGAGGCGGAGAAGATCGAAATTGAAGTGCTTGAGCTACGCCAGGAAGGTCTTGGTAAGAGCCACCCCGAGGCGATCAGGAGGAGCATGGCTGAACACGCGATATCACACCATGCCTAAGGGCACAATGATGCTATTCGTATGCTGTTGTTACAAGCGAACGTGGACCCGGACTCTTGCGACGGCAACAGCCGTACTTGGGCCGCTAGAAAAAGCTATGTAGCTATTGCACCTTTTCTCCTCTTGCGACCAAAAAGGTGGATATCATTTCACAAGACCTTCAACTCGCCACGATGAACCATAGTCTTCTACCTTGTATTCGCCTGCTCCACTTGCGCCAATTCCCAAACCAGCTTGCACCCAGTACGCCCCGCCGTTCCCTGGCTGTAGCAATGTCTGCTACTAGCAAGTATGTCTGAGTCACTTTGCTTTCTCCTTGTCTTGCCTCTCCATGATCGCCCAATGCTGAGTCACAGCTTTTTCGCTTCGATCCAGCCTTTTTGCAATCCATGACCACTCCTTCCCCTCTTCAATGTATACACGCAGACGCTCATCTTCCCACTCCGTCCAACGGCGGCGCTTAGACCTGTTAACATTTTCCTCAAGACTGTCTGGGCTGGGGCAATGATCGGAACAATCACCGTCACTTTGGTCGTCGCTTTGGCTGTCGTTGTTGTTGTCATCGGTGTCGTCGTCCGAGTCATGCTCGAATGTATCACTGTGTGACAGTCCGATAGCCGCCTCCGCTGTATGATCTTGATGTTTCGCGTTACAGGTTTCGTTGTTTTCCGTGCTTGTTTCGTTGTATGGAAGTCTCTCCATAGCATAGTTCTTGATGAACCCAAAGAACAGCTCAAGCATGTCCATTCGCCTTTCATTATCAGGCAACTTAGCGCTACCCCCATTGAGAGCCACGATAGTGTTGATCTTGCGTAATAGGTATTCGGCAGAAAACCCACAAGTATGGCATGTGGCTGCTGGTGGGTTCATCGTGGTGGTGACAGGCGGAGGGGGAACTAACCCGCACCTTTCGGTCTGATTATGTTTCCTAGAAAGGTGGTTTGGGCGAAGTGAGGGAACATTCGATGTAGTTCGCGAGCGACCCTGTTGTGCTTCCTTACACCTGCTTCTTTTCGGGGGATTATCCAAGTTGGGTAAAAATAATCCGTTAGGGCGCGCCGTGTCTTTACTACAGGGTGCCAAAGAGATAGGGCCATCTGCTGTAGACCGTTCCGGTGTTCCGGCCGAGCGACGAGGCTGTGTTTCGATTTCGTTTGACAGCCTCTTAGTTGACTTTCCCGCTGGAACTCGAGATGGCAATGCTCGCAAGGTCCTGGGTGGCAGAGCCGGCGAGTCCGTCCCGATGTCGACTTTCCGACGCCTCATTCGTTTAGCCGGGCGTAGTTCATGGCTCCCGCAGCCGCTTTCAGTTGGCTCGGCCCGCCGTTTCTTCTGACAGGTAACAATATGGCCAACTTGCCCTGAATCGGAGGCGTGATCAGACACTGGAGTAGGGAGGGAGAAATCGCCTGTTTGAGGCTCTTTCAGCCCACCCAAGCGAGCAACTGGTACCTCGTTCAAGTCGCTGGGAAATGGGTCTCTAGTAATATATGGGCTTTCCGGGCAGTTAGGTGCTGCGGAGTTGCTTTCTGACAGGACGTGTAGTACAGGACTACCCGACAGATCTTTTTCCGTAAGTTCAGATCCTGTTACCGCCATCTCTTGATGGCAGCTCTCAACATCGGTTTCGTCATCATCAGAACTCCTGTCGTCGTCGGAGGTCTCAACAGTATCGTAACTCTCGCCGCTCGAGCTGCTCTCGCTACTATCTTCAACTTCAATTACGGCTGTGCAATGGGTATGTCAGTTCGATGTTTCCTGGATCGAATCTTGGCTACTCACATGCGTTCATGCCGCTTGTAACAGAATTTGCCAGGCGAAGTTGCCCAGTTGCCCGTCTGGCTAGGTCAAGAGCCAATGACAGTTCCTCAGCCGAAGCTGGATCTGCCTCGTCATGAGGGGCTTGTTCTGTGGAAGGCTGAGCAGGTAGGGGTGCGCAAGACAACCAAAATGGCGAATGTGAGGTGATATCGTCTGAAAAGGTAGGCTTTGGTATTGTCGATAGGATACCACCGATCTCACAAGACGGTGGTGCTAGGGACTCCAAGGACGCGAAGTCGCATTGTTTGTACGCTTCGGCGATTCCAAGATTCTCACCGGAATCAAAGTCAAGATTGCCAATGCTAGCGAAGGGGTCGGAGCTTGTCCCTATCGGTTGTAAGTTGACGTCGGCGGGATGTGGTTGGAGTATAGTTGACTTACAGCTTGTGGTCTGGGCCTCTGTCGCACCTAGAACTTCGACGGTTTGTCCAAGTACTGTTGCAAGCGCTGCTGATGGGAGTTGCGCTTGTTTTTGTTGCTGTTGCTGTTGCTGCTCTTCGCGCTCGTGTTGACGTTTCTGCTCTGCGCGTTGCCTCCTTTTACGCTCTTTCTCTTCGTACAACCGTTCCATAGACTGTACGTCCAATTTTTTGAAATGTGTGAGGGCCATCGTGGCGAAAGGAAGAAAGGCGAGGTTGAATTGTCTAGCATGAGCTGGCTGGCATGGTGATGGCAAAAGGGTGCCTTTATATTGTTGTGTTATCCGTCTTGAAATGAGCCCCTCCTCTCCTAGACACGACCGTTCATCCAAAACATCCGCCTATCAACCCATAGAAGAGCCTGCTGCTCCCACACCTACAGGGGAATACGAAGCCAGCATCACTCGGCCCACTCGGCCCACCAGTCAATGCAACTCCTTCGTCATGTGGTACTCAGGATGATGCGATATTCTCTTCTAAGCCTTGGCGATGCCCCTGACGCGCTGATGGGCGCCTTCTCGTTTGTGATTGCCGATCCGCCTCGTCCAACGACGGCTGTGATAGCGGACTTGCCGGGCGAATCGTTGGCCATTTCCGCAGCATCGCGAACCCATGATCCCCTGTCTAGACCTAGCGAGCCACGTCACCAGCTTTGAACTTGGCCTGGACGGTCTCAGCTCCTAGGCCGTCCCAGGAGAATGAACCAGGGTCGTCAGACTGTGATAGGCACCCATCCACTTGGCGTACAACTTCGGCGTTCTTGTGATGCCGAGTATGGCCTGTCCAGCTGAGCCTGACACTATCGAGCCCGGTCGACCTTTCAGCCGGCATAACTAAGCCGCCCCCTGAGCATGGGTGAGTATGAGGCCATCAGCGATGCGACCTCGCAAGCCATACCACATAAGGCAAGAATTTGGCGGAACTTTTGATTGTCTCGGGAATAAAGCGCCGGTGCCTCGAGCTGAGTTCGAGGTATCCGGTGTTCCCCGTCTCGTGTAGGCAAGGGAATCAGTGTTGGCGCTACCTAGTCGAAAAGCCACAGCAGGGGAGCCAAATGTCCAGGAAGGCCAGGACGTGAATTGCCTGAATAGGTAATTTTGTTGACTCAGGATGTCGGCTTAGCTGGTATCCGACGCACCCTGGCTTCCTTTCATCCATGGTCCACGCCAGGTCTAGGCAGACCCGCGTACTGTCGTTAAGATCTAAGAACCGACAGCCCCATGGCGTGAGTCGTGCCGAAAGGGAAATTTGATTGGCGAGATGGGAAGTTACTAGCTTGGTATCTCTGACCGCTCGGTGTCGTGGCAACCTACACAACTGGTTGCGGCGTTTCACACAAGCTGCTCCTTGTCTGAAGGCTCGGGGATGCCGACACAAGCTGGTTCTCGGGTAGAGGGTGTCTTCGCGAGCTTCGCAAGAGCTATCCCTCCTGGAGGAACTTGCTATCTCAAGGATGATGAGCCCCGGACCGTCGTTCGAGACCGTGATACGCGTACAGCCTGGCCATGCGCTACATCTCGTATATGCGAGGCCAGCATCGATGATGCTACCTCAGTCCAGGCCAAAAACAGGCAGAGCCGATGTCTAGGGGGCAGACAAGACGTGAATTGCCCATTGAGGCAATTCGTTAGCGTGTATTATCGAAGCCCCTGACTGTATCGCCGGAGTGTAAGAGACCAGTGCGGCAGACCCTGCTTTGCGTCATGCGACGTGTTATCGATCCTTGCGGATTGCTAACCCAAGGTTGAGGGCTTGGAAATTACCAGACGTGGTAATTTCGTGGGCAAGGTTTTGCCTCTTCCGGTAGTCTGAGCAATAGACTGGACTATGAGCTTCATTCCCGGGCGCCTGCATCGAGATGATTGACACCGCGCGCAGGACCATTGCTGATTCGTTGTGTAATCCCGCGACCCATTCCACCATCTCTTTCGAGCCGTCAAATTACCAGAACAGGCAATTTTCCGCTGTAACAGTAAGGCGAGGTCGACGCGACCGGGTAGGAAAGTGGACCATCGAGAATGGAGCTGGAGCGCGTTTCGCCTGGGCATTCGCAAGTCTCGACATCGACGAGTAACGGAAGTGACGAGGCGGAGGGAGGCGGGTGGAGAGGAGGTGGAATTGCCATATCTGGTAGGACACTAACGAAGTTAGCAAACATTGTTGCCGCAGCAGGAAAACATTGAAGCCTTACCCAGCGGGGTGCGTTGGTCCGAGGTTTGGTACAGCGGATGCAGGCCATCGCTAGGTATGCGTATCATTTTGTCATCAGTTTGAGTTGGCGTCGGCAGAAGCTCTGCTTTGTTGTTGTTCTTGTGGTGAGATGAAGGTAGGCCGAGGTAGGGAAAACATCGTGGCAGAAGCGGGTGTCGAGGACGTTGCCAACAGTAGAAAAGAATGACGCGGCGCAGCGGGCAGGACAAAGACGAGGTACCGAAGGAACTTCGAGGTACATCTGAGTCTGGGGCGGGGCAGACGCCGTTTTATGGGCGGGTAAAAACAGCGAGGGGGAGCATGGCCGAGAATTACCCGATGTGGCAGGTACCGCAAAAGGCAATGTCAGGACCGCCATTTCCGAAGGCGGGCAAGCCGTTGCAAACTTTACTAAGTAATCGCTCGGGCAGTTCTTAACATTAGTCATGTAGTATTGATATATAGTATTAGTAAACACTAATACTATCTCAATAGACTATTAGTTTTGTTTTACTTTTACCTTTTAAACTTTCTTATTTATAAAGTTTAAAATATAGATTAATCCCGTATTCGTGGTAATATTAGGTATAGGATATTATTATTTTATAAACCCGCGTACCTAGCTAAGTTCGCTACTCCTTTAAGTAATGTAAGCTTATAATAATAATATTGAAAATACCCTCGTTACCGTCGTCAAGAATAATGCCGCCCTTATCAATTTCTAGCCGATGTTAGCATATGTATATACTATATATTCGTTATCTTATTTCTTTTATTCAAATTAAAGACTATTTCCCTTGTTATCTATTACTATCGTTATTAGTGTTACTTTTAACTTTTATAGCTAATTTCCATAACTGATTTTTAAAATTCACTTCCTTAATGAATATTGCTATGTAAGTATATTATTTAGCTCATTAATAATCAATAATACTAAGTTACTTATTCCGAATTATAAAGTGGTTCTTATATTAAGATTGTTTTATTAAGTTAAGTACGTATTTCAAGTATACAATTAAAAAGTATTCTTTATTATAGTAAAGGTTGAAATTAAAAAATAAATAAAAGTTAAAAGTAGTATTTAATTATAAAGTTCTACATTTTAACTATAATAAATATAGTATTTTTATCAAAAAGGGCTAAAAACGCTAATATTAATTGAATTTTTATATTAGAGCTTATAAAGATACCTCTTACTCTTAATATTTTTTACATTACTTATAAATTCTATTTGAAGTAAATAAACTATTAAATAAAGTAATTAAACGAATTTACTATTACATATTAGTTTTTTTCCGGTTTTATTAGCGTGGAAAAATCGACCTTAACGGGATGAAGTCTTTTGAGAATATTATATAAAATGGTATGTATTTCAATTATATAATACGTATAACATACCCTGAGTATGTACTTAATATAATGTAATAGTTTTAATACGAAAATTATTGTAAGTTCTGCTAGGGGGGCTATGTCTAACTTTTTCTAAGTATTTAAAAATTACGATTATCTAAGCTAACTATAACGAATAACTAATTCTAGCTTATTATTACTAGTCTCGTGCTAGCCCGACTTATACAAATTTAAAGAGTTTAAAAATTGTTTCACTTCTTACTATGATAATTAGAAAATCTTAATCAATTTCGATTTTTAGTAATCTTAATTAAAACTATGTTATTTACGGCTTTCAATTAATTGACTAAACTATTGAAATTATAGCTTTATCAATATTATTCAAGCTAAAAAAGCCTAAGATTATTTACTTTATTATTTACTACCCATTAGTAACTTTTTATCTGTTTTACTTGACTTTTTATTATTATTATAACTAACTGTATATTCTATAAGGCTAATTTATCCTTACTTTATATTTAGATATTAATAAATTAATAAAATTTTGATATTGAACAGGCTATTTTCAATGCTTTAATTTAATAATATAATGAATATAATGTCTTAAATAATAAAATAAACTTAGTAATAATTAATATAATTATTCATAAGGGGAAAAGAAAATTTTATAAACGGTTGTTTTAGATCTTATAAATAATATTGATTTATTAACCTATTGAAATATATTAATAGATCGGAAAAACGAGGAATTCATTAATTAACAACAAGGCAAGGGCTTTTTAGTATTAGGCATTTATCAATTTTAGTATTTTGAAACTAATCTTTTTAGAAATAATTTTGAATTAGTTATTATATAACTAAGTACTTTTAATAAGTATAAGATTTTGTTATTATTACCCACCTTTTGTGAATATAGGCCCTACCCTATGGTATTTCCCTAATTATTTCAATAATAATATATAAGATAGAATTATTATTATTATTAACATAAATTTTTGGGTCTTTATAAATGATTTTAATAAAACTATTAGTTTTGGTACTAGAAGTGTTATATTACAAAGTAAAATAATTAATTCATCAACAATACAATAGAAAAGATAAGTAATTGTAATATGTTCTAGCCCTTTAGGGTCTACCCCGCCTTATTAAGGGCTATTTTTACCTTTACGAATAAGCTAGTTTATTAGGGTTAATATTATAATTTTATTAAATAATAGACCTTATAACTAACTATAACCGGCCATACCCATCACTAATTTAAACCGTTATTCCCAATATAATACATCAATTACCTTCTAGATAACTAAAAACTACTTTTTAGTTTTTTTCCATCTAATAACTCTCAACATTCTTTTTAACTTTTCTTAATTTACTTTTATATCATAAGATTAAAACATTAGGAAAATCTTAAAATTAACTAAATATTTCGAGGTCGTGTTATATAAACTAGGTATTGATAATAATAATACCTATATTAATATACCTTTTTGGATCTTTAAATTAATAGTATTTAAGCCGTATTTTTTGAAGGGAATTATATTATAGTTTAAAGTCCTTTAATAAAATACTTATAAGGCTGAATATCTAGCTATTAAAAAAGCCCTAGAGATTAATAATCTTTGAATGTTCTGATATCTTAATAAAAAAACAA